CAAAGCTTTCAGCTGTTGGGGGAAAAACAAGAATCCCCGCGGGAGTGAGGGTATCAACAATCACTTCGCCTAACAGATGATTCCCCTACAACCCCCGAATACCAACCCCTCAAGCAATCGCTTCACCCCACTTCGTCCCTTCGAACACTTTCCACGCGGACCGTCTCGCGTCTCTCGCGTCTCTCACGGCCGGCGCGTGGGCGCCGTGCCGGGTCGAGGCGCCTCGGATCTCGGTGAATCGGCTGGACGTCCCCGCAAAGGGTCCTCAAACCACCCCTAAAAATGGGGGGCGATTTCCCCAAAAGTGGTAGTTCAATGGGCAGTTTGAGGGCCACTGCTGCAACAGTGTGTTTGGTGAGCTCCCCTTGTTTTCTGGGTTCTTTTCAGGGTCCAGGTGCTCTTTCCGGTTTTTTTTTGGGGGTCAACAGGCTGTGAGAGTTACCGGTTTCCGTTGAAACTGCTTACGAGTCCATAAGGGTCGGGGCAGCTCGGTGGTTCCCTGTCAACAAGTGGTGCAAAGCGTGGCAAATATATATATATATATATATATATACACACACATATATATAAGCATATATGTATGTGTATGTATATATATATATATACACATGTTTAACAAGCATATGACTACTAGGATCAACCAGGTTTTTGCGGACAAAGAAAGAAAGAAAGAAAGAAAGAAAGAAAGAAAGAAAGAAAGAAAAAAACAACAAAAGAAAGAAAGAAAGAAAGAAAGAAAGAAAGAAAGAAAGAAAGAAAGAAAGAAAGAAAGAAAGAAAGAGACTCTTTGAAAAAGTCCATGCGCCAAGGCTTGGGGTTTTCAGCGGGCCTGACAACCAGAGACTCTGCCCCCAGAGATCTCACCAAACGTCAGGTGATTCGTCAAAGAGGTCCCTAGATTTCTTGTATGGTCACACAGGTGGCCACATGGCTGCGGCTCAACAAAATGTACCCACATGGAACCTTGCTAAATAGAACCAAAGACTAAAACCTGCATAACCCTAGCTGTTTAATTTTGAGCCACACCCAGATGGTCGAAAGGTGGGACACACGCGAGACCCATTGACTTATGACCCCGCCATGATCGATTAGACAAGTGTTGTGAGGCCTCGGACATTCAACCATGGCATTGTGGCATCCGTTTGCAGACGCTTCACAGATTCCTCATTGGATCGGCCAAGTTAGCAAGTGGTTAGGCGAACTTGTAAGTTAGTAAGTGATTAGCCACCTAGGTGGCTATCCACTAGTAACAGGGTTGGCTCCACTTGGGGGAGCTTGTATGTGGGACATAACCAAGGTTACCACCAACTTACTAACTTGGCCAAGCACCCAAGTCCCATTGTTGGGACTCTTTGCACAGCCTGAAGTGGCCTGACAGCTGACAGGTCCGTCGGTTTTCAAAGTTGGCAACCAACAGAACTCTCCAAATGAATTCGACGGCACGTGGCGGTACTTGAGGTCTCGTCCTGCGCAAAACACCTGAATATAAGCGGCACGCATTTGAACTTGCAGCCGAAAGAGGGGTCCATTTTGTTTGGGGGGGATGAGAATGCACGGGGCTAAAGAAATAAACAAAAATAAAGAAAACACACAATGATCTCAAAGTCTTTGGTCTTAGCCGCGCAAGCCCATTCTAAGACCCTTGACTCCCGAAGACCTGCGGCGTTGACCCGCCTGCATGGAATTGGGCAGCTGCGGCAGCACCGAAGGCTTCTCGTGATGGACAGTGCCCCGTGTCACGTCCACCTCGCTGCAAGGCTTCTCGTTATTTTTTTTCTTTTTCTCAGCTTTTGGAGGCCGGTGGCTTGGGGTTCGGGGGTGGTTTCCCATTTACCCGCGGAAAAAGAAGAAGAACAAAAGAAGAAAAAAGACGGAGCCCGCGAACCCGAATGCACGTCACTTTGCGCAAACCCAAGAAGAAAAGAAGAATAAATACTCCACACCACACATCCAAACCACGTCTGTTCAGCTTCCTTCCAATTGGTTGGGGCAGGGGTTCCAATCTCCAAAACCAATCCAAACCACCCATGGAGGGGGTACCCCGACTCTTGCACCATGCGAACAGCGTGGCCCTTCCGGCCCTTCCTGTGTCCACAAGAATGGGACAGGCCAACTTCGCCCGGCTTTCCTCTGCTGTTTGCCTAGGTCCTCCAGATTTGAGAGGTTAGAATAAGTTGGTGCCAACTTTTCTCTGCAGCTTATTTTTGTAGGGGGACCCTCCCTCAAAAAAGTTGGTCAAAGGGCACTAGGTCCTCCAGTAGAGAGGTTAGAATAAGGGTACCAACTTGTTTCTGCAATCTATTTCAGTAAGGGAACCCTCCCCCCAACAAAAGGGTGAGAAAGGGCACCTAGCTGGGGGACCTTGTCATGTGACCTAGTTGTGCAGCAAAGCAAACGGACAACGCTGTTTTCTTTCGGAGAAGCTCCAGTGCGGCTGCAATTGGCGTGCCACACGCGCTCGAAGGCAGCGAGGGCAGTATCCGGAGCAGTTCCTGGCCTACCCTCTGGTCCACTGCCGTGAAACCTAGCAGAGGGTCCCCTTTAATGGCACCTACCACAAAGCCGCCTCAATTGGTGGTTGGATGGGTGGTCTAGCGGTTCGGGGGGTGGTTTCCCATGTACCCTCACAAAGAACTAAGGGCAGGAATCGCCAAACTATGTTTCAACCAAACTCACCAAAACGGACACCTACGTGACCTACCACAAAGGCGCCTTGACGTGGTTTTGGGAGTGGTTTCCCATTAACTCTCTATAAGAACCAAGGGTTTAAATGCCCAAAACCAATCCAAACCACCTTTTTCTAGGAGCACCTACTGGCTAGGTCTCCTTTTTGGAAAATAGATGACTCTGGTAGATGATTGAAAGGTGAACCAGGAATCGCCCTCTATCTTTCAAACAAACTCACCCAAAACGGACAGCTATGACCTGTCTTTGTTGAGGGTAAGCCGCCTGCTTGCTCCAGTTGCCGCCCGCCACCTGTCACTTGGCAGCATCCTAGGATGCCAGCAAACCAAAAGGAAACCCAAAACCCATGTTGGAGAGGTCCGATCCACCCCCCGCCCCCACAAAAAAAAGAAAGAAAAGAGAAACACACCCCAACTACCACCTATCACCTATGTGACCTACCCCACACCCCACACCCCACACCCCACACCCCACACCCCACACCCCACACCCCACAAGCACCCCACACCCCACACCCCACACCCCACACCCCACACCCCACACCCCACACCCCACACCCCACACCCCACACCCCACACCCCACACCCCACACCCCACACCCCACACCACCCCACACCCCACACCCCACACCCCACACCCCACACCCCACACCACACCCCACACCCCCACACCCCACACCCCACACCCCACACCCCACACCCCACACCCCACACCCCACACCCCACACCCCACACCCCACACCCCACACCCCACACCCCACACCCCACACCCCACACCCCACACCCCACACCCCACACCCCACACCCCACACCCCACACCCCACCCACCCACCCACCCACCCACCTACCACACACCATGACCAATCCACCCACCCACCAGGCCCGTGCGCGCCTCCGTTCCGGCCCCTCCCGACCGCCTGCTTGTTCACATCCTGCAGGCCCTTCCCCACGCCCCTGAGGTAGTCGTGTGCCACCTCCAGACGCTCCGCCAGGCTCTGCACGTCCCCCTCGCGAGGGCAAAAGGCGTGTGATCTGAGATGGGCCTTTTTGGTGTGGCTTTCAAGGGAACCCAAGAGCAACGCCACAAGTCTAGGGGTTGATTCCTTTTCCATTCTTGTCAACCATCGTTCTTTTCAAAAACCGGCTGCTTCCGCAGGGTTTTGGGTGGCTTTGTAGAAAGAAGGATGCCTGGAAAGAATGGGGAAGGATGGTGGTGTTCCTTTTGGACTTCCGTTTACCCAACCCCAAAAAGCGTATCGTCAAAAAAACAGAACCGTGAAAAGAATCATCATGGATATACTGAGGCTTGTGAGGTACTCACTCCTTGAGTTCCTGGTTGCTTGAGCCACTTTTTGGGTGACCATTTTAGTAGCAAACAAAGAAACATACAAAAAAAATATGTTGGCATCATTTTAGTGGCAAACAAATAATTATGGACTTGTTGTTGGGCCGGCTTGCGTTTTGTGTGGCAAAAAGCTCGGAACGCCTTTTTTGTGATTCTTCCAAAAGGAGTCCGTGCACATCCCGAAGCCAATCTCCGAACCCCCTTTGAAGCCCCTGCCTGGCAAGCCCCAAGGTGCACAAAAAACCCTCGCAGTTGTCCGCATTTCTCTCGCCATCCGAAGCCATCCTGAATGCTACCCTCTGCAAATTGTCAGGCGGCTTCCTGCAAAATGAGGAGTTTTGCCTCTGCAAAATGATGGGTTGTTCTAGGGGTAACTTCCCCATTCTTTCCAGGGATCCGGATCTTTCTAGAAAACCACAAAGAACCAGGTTGGAAATGGCGATCGGTTTGTGAAAAGAAGGATGGCTGAAAAGAATGGTTGGAAGATACCCCCAGATTTGTTGTGAGTTTGCCCAGGTTAGGCAATGGTATGGAGTAATTAATCGTTTGTCACTTGGGCCATACAACATCTAACCCCAAATTTGCAAGGAGCCTCACATCGCCCCAGGTACCACCGGGACCGCGCAAACCGTCCCGACGTGCGGTGAGTTTGCCCAACATGGAACTCAAACTGGGCAATGATTCACTGGCTGGATGGCAACCCACATGGAAAATTTCGGGCCTGTGCCAGTTGAGGAACCTGTGCCTCGCAAGTCGCGATAGTTGAAAATGGGACCCTACAACCTTTAAAACAAGGCAACAAAAAGAGGTACCCGAAAAAGCCAAAACCCAAAACAAAACGGATTTTACTAGAAACGGTGCTCGGTGTTCTTCTTAGCTGGCCCTTATGTAAACTATCTTAAACAGCTGGAAAAATTAAGGGTCGCGGTGCATCTTTCAGCTTGCCGCCTGCGTGTTGACGATGTCCGAGTTCAGTTGAGCCAGCTGCCGCGCATGGGTTTGCAACTCCTTGTCCTCGAGTCGCTTCGTTTCTTCCGGTCAGAGGCTGGTCACCCGGACGACCGGGTGGTGACCCGGCGGAAAATGGTAGGTTTGGCATGTGCGTTCCCTTCGGATGCGAAGACATTGTCCTTTGGTATCGGCTTATGGATTAACATGAGCCTTGTAATAGGAAAGCGATCCCATCATGATTACTTTCATCAAAGCAAAGGGGATTCCCTGGGTTTTCGCAGCAACATAGGCTTAAACCCACCACGAGGGACAGGAATTCACTAGAGAAGGGAGGTAAGACTCATGTCATTCCCATTCTTTCTCTTACCTGGCATTTGGTGAGTCTATCTGTGGCCCTTCCTCATAATCCTTCCTTTGAACAGATCCCACAAAAAATGATCAGGCGGTTGGCTGAATCGATGGAGGCCACGGATCAGAGCATCAGAACATGTCTTGGACTTGGCCACAGCGGTGGTCACCAACAAACGAAAGGCCAGAGCACAGGCTCCAGGATTCGCCAAAGAATTCAAACAAAACACATCCCGAGGGTATCCCGTCAAAACCTGTGGCCAAAAGCGAGCAGAAAAAGGCAAGCGGCCCTTCCTCATAGACTCCTTTCAAAGGCCTTTCAACAACCAACACACACTAGGTCCTCCAGTAGTTTGAGGCTAGAATAAGTTGGTGCCCGATGTTGTTTTTTCTTCTGCAGTCTATTTTAGTAGGGGAACCCTCTCAACCAAAAAGTTGGAGAGAAGGGCACCTAGCTGGGGGACCGAGCGTTTGCGCGCGCAAACGTCCGCGCGCAAACGCACGCGAGTCAGACTCGCCGATGCTGCCCTAGGCTCTGCGCTCTGCTGCCGCAGGTCGAGGCGGGCGGTCACGGCATCATGCTCCTCACTGGGCTCTGGATAGGTCCAAGGGTCCAACCTGGGGCTAAACTTATCATATGGTGGCTGAAAAGCATGTACAATGGCACCTCGGTAGATGGAACCAAAGACTAAAACCTGCGTAACCCTAGCTCTTTAATTTTGAGCCACACCCATATTGATTTAGTTCAGGGTGTCTATTATCGATTCACTGTTCAGGGTAAACATTTGGCTGCCAGTCAAGGGATCCTGGAGCCAAGAAGCTCACTGACTTCGTAAAAATATGGGTCTGTTCTTCGCTTTCTTTGGTCGGACCCGCCAAAATGGCGCAACGGTTTTCCTCTCGGTTCCCCTTTAACACCGCACAAAAGGGGCACCCTCGAAAAAGACGCACCCAAAAGTGCCCTGTGACTCATGTTTTTTTTCCCAGCGGGTGGGGTTTAAGGGAGGTTTAATGACCCCCCGACCCGTTTGTCCAAACCCCACCGCCTTCAAGTTAGGGACCGGGGACCCATCGGTGGCGGTGGAAATGGGCCCCTTCTGATACCAAAGTGGCATTGGTCTCACCTAGGTCCTCCAGATTTGAGAAGTTAGAAGGGTACCAACTTTTGTCTGTAGTCTGTCACAGAACCTGGGCTTAAGATCAAGCTTCCACCCGCAGTTGGGGATGGTTAAGCTGAGCGACCGGGAGTCGGGCATTCGAGCTTTGAACCCTTCGCGTGGGTATGTGTCAAACGGGAACTTCCTCAAATGTTGGTTTCCCTTCAGATCCCCTAACTTGAAATCAATCCCCAAAAGTTGGTACCAACTCCAAAAAATACCAAGAGACACCACCCTCCCCATCCCTTCATCTGCTTGCTTTCCCTTCAGGGTCCCCCCCCCCGAAAAAAAACACCTATCAAACCCCAACAAGCTGGCACTACGTGCCCCCCCCTCCCCCACCCCCTCCCCCGCCCCTCGAAATGTTTTGTCTGTGAGACCAAACTACCCGCCCCCATCTCCAACCCGCCCTGTCTCCACCCCCCCCGCCCGCCATCCCCACCCGTCTCTCCGCCCTCGTCTCCTGCAGCTTGGTGGTGGCCTCCTTCCGGAACTCGAAGAGGCCCTGGATCTCCGTCTCCGCCACCCGTGCCTGCTCCACCAGCTGCTCCTCGCAAGCCGAAGCCCGAAGCGCTTCGCTCACAGCTCAATGACTCAAGCCCCCTGGAAAAAAAATGAGAAAAGAACATGTCCAGTAGTCATGGACTAAAATTCAAACTTTAAAACAAACAGGGGAAAGGAAACACTTTGAAACCAACAGGGGAAAATACAAAGATTCATTTCAGCAAATGGACGACTACGGCTCCACCAGCTGCTCCTCTCGACAAAACCGACCGAAACCGACCGACGTCTCGGAGCAAGCCCAGCGCACGGCTCTCGAGAAAACCCCGAGCCGAGCACGTTGGTGCCAGTGTAAAGACAGCGCCGTTTGTTTTCTTTCAGCGTCATTAGATAAATTTGTTGAAAAAGACAATACGGTAACGATGAACATGATCATCCCACTAAAACTAATTAAGGCCTGACTGGATGAGCAGGTTTAAGTAAAAAACAACGAAGCTTTCGAGAAGCCCAAGCCGAGCAAGTGGCCATGAGGCGAGTGGATCGCACTCCCCTTGAAGTATGGGACGAAAAAACGAAACGGTGGTTACCGCCCCCTACTCAAAAATTGACGGAACCCAAAAAGCAACGACTTAAAAAGAAGCTGTTGCTTTTGCCCCCTACGCAAAATTAAGAGAACCCGCAAAGAACACAACACTTGCCAAGAACAGTGCAGATTGGATATACCCGGACCCTCAAACTACCCGGAAGAACTGGACCCGAAAGAACTACCCAATAAACAGACAAGACAATTCGCCCACCATCATTTTGGGGCAGTAACCCGTGTTTAAGGGAATTGACTCGAAAGCGCTACCCGTGAAAAGCAGTTTGAAGATTCACCCATCATTTGTTGGCAATAATTCCCAAGTTTAAGTTGGAAGTTTGAGGATCCAGATCCATCTGGGTGATATACATACATTGGGTGATATGGATGCGTCCTCTTTTGGAGTTGGTACCCTTTAAGGAAAGCCAAAAAGGGAAAACCACAATTTTGGGGATTCCCTGCAAAAGACGTCGACCCATATAACAAGGTACGACTTGCTGGCTGGGTGCATTACCGCGGGTATAGTGACTAATAATCAGTCATACCTACGTAAAATGTACAGCCAGCACAAAGTTTGGCACAGGGCACAACTTACTGCTATAGGAATGGTTATGGGCAGGGTCGGCTTAAAGATCATAAGACGGCTGTGCTGAGGGTAGGGATGGTAAAGGGGATGAGCCAATTACAAACATTCTCCTCTCATCCTGGCGCAATTTGTTTACATATCCAAGCCGGATGGCTGGTTGGGCCGACTTGTAACATGCTCCTGGTTTCCTGAGGTGTAGCAAACGTCGACCCCTCGTCGACACCATGGCCCATGCAAATGCCTGCCTGCCTTTGCGAGGGGGGGGGCAGATTCCGGAAGGTTTTCAACTCACCTTTGCCCTTGCCTGGTCTTTCCACAAGTTCACAACGGCAAACTTCCCCCCTGTCTTCGTCAGCTAGCAGAAACCTACCTGGACTGTCCAAGCTGATCCCCCGCGAAAAGTTCAACTTGCGGGTTGCAAATTGGAAACCACACCAACCAAAACAACAACAAAAACATGTTTCAGGCAAAAAACTGGAGGGCTGGGAACCACCCAGCTGCCTCAGCTTCCCTCTAGTTGGTGGTTTGCATTGGTTTTGGAGGGCTTTTCCATTTACCCTCTACAAGAACCAGCACCTCAAACCCCCCAAACCACTGATCCAAACCACCAAGGGGTTTCCCCAGCCACCACTTCTTCCCCCTCGAAAAACTCGCTCCGCGGCCTGCACGATCCGCAGCTCCGAGATGCGGTTTCCGTTGCTTCGGACGTCCGCGTTGGTGGCTGACAGCCCACCCTGGCCGGGGGGCCGAGTCTCCGGTCTCGCCGCGAGCTGGTCTTCCATTTGCTGGATATCCTCCAGTTTCCCTTTCAAACCCACCCCAAAAACAGGGCCCCCGACTTTTTTGAGTCACAAGTCAACTTCCATTTGCGAATTCCAGTGATAGAGACCCTTTAAAACCAACTGGGAAAAAAACTTAAGCAAATGGAAGTTGTTCTTTCTCCAGTGATCTAGGGGTTGTTTCCAAACCACCGAGTCCAAGCCACCAATGCAAACCACCAACTAAGGCGACCTGATAGTCCAAACCACACCAACTAATCTAGGGGTTGTTTCCCCAAGCAAAGGAATATTTTGCCCATGGCGGAACCAAAAGTCTAGGGGTTGATTCCTTTTCCATTCTTTTAGACCATCGTGCTTTTCCATGGACCGATTTGTTGGAGGGGGGAGTGTCCCTACAGCTGTTTCGCCACTTCTCCGAGAATCTAGGGGTTGTTTGCCATTTCAGGAATCCTCATTTCAGGCGTCCAAATCCATTCCAACACCTACCATTCTAGGCTTGTTTCCAACCATTCTTTCAACCACCGCTCTTTTCGAAAACCAGCGGTTTTCCCGGGGTTTCTGGAGGTTTTCTAGAAAGAAGGATCCCTGGAAAGAACGAGGGAGGTACCCCTGGAATTGACCGATTTGTTGGAAGGGGGGGAGTGTTCGCTCAAACCCGCGAAATGCACGTGAACCTGTCTGGTTTTGTGCGGGCGAGCGTGCAGGACCCATTGATACACAAATGTGTGCGCGAGCCTTCGTGGCAAAGAAGTGCGCGAGGAATGGTACCCCAGTGAACATCCTAATCCCCACTAACATAAAGCCTAAAATGGGTGGTGCACCTACCCCAATCCTCAAAACAGTTTTGACCACCACAGCCACATGGATTGCGGGGCGGAGCTTTGGCTTTGCACACTTAATCAAAGAGTTGCGCCCGAGTCGCTGGACAATTGTGCCTGGCTAGTGGGAAATTGCACGCGAGGTTCGGGTTCCCCTCAAAAAGTGCTCGAATTGCATTTGGGCAGAAACAAAACGCTCGAATGCCAAAACAGGAGTGCCCGTACGAAATCTGGGTTACACTAATTTGGGCATTTTGCTCGCTGAATGCCAAACAAAAACACCATGCCATGCTCGCGCCGCGAGCGCCGAGCGCGTAGACCCGCTCTGCCTCGAGGACCCGCAGCGCCGCGGAGTTGTTCCGGATGGTCGCGCCCTTGGCGTCCAGCAGCGTGGACAGGTCCGAGACCCGCCTCGGAGCCGCTGGGAAAAAAGCCGCGGGCGGACGCCCGGCCCCTCAGCCCTTGTTTTTGTTGGGGGGTAGTGTCCCCATGTTCAAGGGAATGGACGTGAAAGAAGATACCCATAAACAAGTTCGTTGGACAACTCACAAGATTTGGGTTTCAAACTAGCCCATTTCGAAGTGCTTGAACTTTGAAAGCGCAGGGATCTGGTGTTCACATCCACGATTTTTGCAGGGTCGCACATCCATGAGCACCATCGAGCCCCCCCCAAGCAAAACCAAAAAAGGGCTGTGAGGGCGAATTTTCGGGAACGCATTTCTGGCTTACATGGCCAAACCTGAGATGCCGTTGGAGATTGGTGGGTGTTGGGGGAAAAACAAAACACAGAAGTGGAATCGGATCTTCCAGACGTGGATTCATGTACCTGGGCTTTGCAGGTGACCCAAACAAAACCCGGCCTGAAAAGCAACCAAAAGGAAAAACCGGCGAAGGGTCACCTCAGAAGCTCCAGTGCACCACAGTCATGCTTCCCATGCTTCCCTTGGGAATCGTGAAATCCAGGGTGATTTCTTGGGGCCGCCCCAAAGCCACAGTTGTTTTCTGGTTTGGTGTCCCTCTACCAGTCCAAAACTTTGGGTATCCCACGGGGGCTTTTGAAACAGAGGGTTCCGAGAGTGCGCTCCAGCTGGGAGACGCTCAAAGCCCATTGCTTTGCACATGGGTCTGCTTCTTTTTGGTTGTTTTCAAGGGAAGCCAAAAGGAAAACCACAAACAAACAAAAAACACCAGTGGTCGGTTGTGGTTTTCCTCTTGGCTCAGCGGTTGGGTCGGTTGTTTGTTCCGGGATTAGGCAAAAAAAAACACCAGCCGCTGCTCCCGCGTTAAACTCTGGGCGTGTCGGGCTGGACAACCTCTTGGCTTCAGTGTAAGGTGAAACGGATACCTGGGTTGGAGTTCGCCGGCCCTGGTGGCTAGTGAATTCCAACTTTTGTTTACTGGGTACCCTCCAACAAAACCGGTAGAACACGCGCGAGGCCAAAGCTTGGGTGTCCCTCACCCGTCCAACATCACGACCGCAGGCGGCGCCTGGCCAGGTCGTTATGCAGGCCGTTGGCCAAGTCTGTGAGCTCCACCTGAAGCAATGCCTACTTCCAAAATTCTAGGCCCGCCCGCTGGGTGGGTTTCCCTTAAAAGGACAAACAAACTAAAAGAAAGAGAGATGGGTGGGTCTGTTCAACGGCTAGTTTCCCTTTCTGAGCCAACCCAGGGGTACCTTTGGCCATTCGACCCTCTTAGGGGTATCATGTCGACCTACGAAAAAGGGGATCGGTATTTACCATGGAAAACCAATCGGTTTTCCCAAAAAGTGCCTCTAGGGGTTCAGCTTGATCCCTTTTGTTAATAGATCGAATGCATGTGGGTAGTCATGTGAGATGTGTCAATGTTGTATGAGTATACACAGAAACATATATATATATATATAGATATACATATATATATATATACAGGTATACATGGCATTTCATGAGGGAAAACGTGGGTATCAGGGGGGTTCTACATATATATATATATATTGGGAAAGGCAGCTGTCGGCATCGATGAACCCATTCATTTTGGAGCCCGCTCAGCTGGATCTGATCCAAGTTAGCAGTAGGTAACCAGCCGTTTTCCATCTGGGTGTCCAATAAGTTCGGGTTGCCTATGGACTCACCGGCTGACAGCCAACGTACCAAAGGGATGGAAGGGGTACTGAGCGGGGTGGTCGCCCTCCGCAAGACTTCAGAAGACAGCACGTCTAGGGAAACCCATCAAAAAAGGGTCAGTAGCCAAAGGCTTCAACGAAGAAACCCCGTTTCTACCGACAGCGCGCCCAAGGCCGGACTCACCAAAAAACACCATCCCACAGGCTCCTCTCCTGAACATGAACTTGGACAAAAACCACTAAACACCCATGGGAATCATGGGCATGCAGTAAGTTGGGCACCCTTTGGTGTTGACATTGACACGAACATTCGCCACCCGCCATTGACGGGCGTAACCCTCAAAATTTTCCAAGGCAGGCCTCACGCATCTTGAAACCACTTGAGGGAGGGTATGTCTCCAAATTGGACTTTGTTGCCCCCCCCCGCTGGGTGGGTTTCCCTTATCAAGGCCAAAAATCCAAAAGAAGAAATGGGTGGGTTTTCAACTGTTGGTTTCCCTTTTTGAGCCAACCCAGAGGTACCTTTGGCCTGGGAGCATTCTAGGGGTTGATCCTTGTTTTTCAACCATCGTGCTTGTCAAAAACCGGTCGATTTCACTGGGTGTTTTCTAGAAAGATTTGGATCCCTGGAAAGAATGGGGGAGGTGCCCCTAGAAACATCCCCCGCTGATTTCCGATAAAAAAAGCAACGAAAACCAAATAAGAAGAAGAAGAAGAAAACAACGGGGGGGGGGGGGGAAACACGAAAACTCCGGCGCCTTGGTTTGGTTCAGCCGATGGCTCAGCTGCTCCATCTTGTTCCTCCCCTTCACCGCCTCCCCATCCATGGAGCTGAGCGTGTCCTTGGAGCGAAGGATCGACCACCCAGAAGGGAGCAGAATTCAGCATGGCCTGTTGTGTCTCGTAGATGGCTGCCTGGTGAATGCAAGGTGGCCTGTTGGGTCTAACATGGGCATGGGCCAAAATTAAACCAGGATCTCCGCAGTTTTTCGTCCTTTCGATTTACCAGGATCCCTTGTGAGTACCCATTTTGAGCCACAGCCACATAGATGGCCCAAATATTAAAAAAAACGCCCGTCTCCAGCGGAACCCATCGCTAGGTTTCACCTCACCTCGCCCTGATTTCGGCCCCCCGGAACTGAGATCTCGGAGAAAAACAAGCGTCGACCTAGGGAAACCTCTCGTGGTCTGATCTGAGTTTTTTTGAAGTTCAGGCTAGCAAGAGACCTTGTTTCTTTGCAGCCACCCACTAAAAAAAAAAAGAACCCAAAAACATGCCCACCAACCGTGAAACATCCTGTGGTCCATTTCCCCAGAGTGTCCCTTCTTTCGACCCCCTTTAGCAGAAACATCCGCGGATTGCCTCTGCCTTCACAAATGCTAGGGGCTGATTCCCCATTCTTTTCAACCATCGTTCTTTTCCAACCGCCGTGTTCCCTGGGTGTCCGGAGGTTTTCTAGCAAGATTCGGATCCCTGGAAAGAATGGGAAATGGAAGGTACCCCTGGACATGCTCGTAAATCTCTGGGTCTCCGTTTGAACATAGCCACATTCCATGTTCCAACATAAGTTCATCTCCAGGTCGAAACGCGATCTGGTTCTGAATCAATGAACGTGACATCCTCAAAAATTGGTGGTGTCAAAGGGAAACCACCCAAAAATCTAGGGGTTCATTCCCCATTCTTTTCAACCATCCTTCTTTTCAAAAATCAGCTGTTTCCTCTGGGGTTCTGACGGTTTTCTGGAAAGATTCGGATTGATGGAAAGAATGGACATGGAAGTGACCCCCAGAAAAAGTGACTTTTGAGAACCCCTCCATCACTGAACGTGGCCCAGTGTGACTCGTGACCCCAACTCTCTGACTCCCTCCCCCCTCGTTGAGGCCGGCTCCACTCGGGTGTTGAACTGGTTCTCCTAGCAGGAGGAAAGCGTCTTGGCAACAAGTTCAATTTGTTCCTTGAAGAAAGCACGGTGTATGTATATATATATATACACACACACGCATTTTTACAGCCAAAATGTCAATTTCTGGCCAACAACCGAGTATTCCAGGGGGGGTACCATATATATATATATATTGCAATGCAACGCATCTGTAAGAAAAAATATGGCAACACGCCCCCATACTTTGCCTCCTGTAAAAATGCCAAAGCAAAGCCCCAGAGTTGGTTGTCTAAGAAAAGTGTGTGTGTGTGTGTTTTGCTTTTACATTGTGCTTGATGGGTGGCCGGAATTCGAAGTACCTGCAAATCCACGAAACAATGGCTTACAAAACAGTGTGTTTTCTTGGTGTTGCTTGTTTGCAGCTAAACAGCACTGTTGTGGTTTGCATTGTTAACCCTTGTGAGCATGTTGTTGGTGCTTGGCTACACAACTACTAAACTTGTGGAAAACACATACCAAAAGAACACTCAGAGGATAAGCTTTAGTTTTGCCAATGTAAAAATGCTTGTAATGCTCCTTTTAAGGCTCATATAAACCTCCTTATATAGCTTCTTCTATGCTTATAAGGCTCCATATAAACTCCTTTCCAGGCTCCTTATAAGGCTCCTTATGCCAACTTGGATTATGATTGAAGTTCAGCTAGAATATAAACGGAATCTAATAAGAAAACGGGAATTTGTGTCCACATATGACGTAAATTAACGCTAGCTCTTATGTTCTATCTTCAATTACACATATGTGCATGAATAGAACTTAACAAGGCAAGAACTAAAACATAAGTACAACTCCTTTGAAAGGGAATTGAATAAACATTCAAGTAGAAGTTTGATAGAACCGACGAAGGACACAATTGAAATTGAATGTCTATTTTGATTTAAGTAGGATGGCCTTTCCAAATATAATTTTAATAAAAGCTAATTGTAGTTGAAATGGAATCTGATAAGTCCCCGCACAGGATTTTCGCTTTTTGGCTACAACATATGCTGCAAAGGTAGTTCATTGAAAAAAGCATATGTAGCAGATTATGTGGACGGGTTGGATGGTAGCAGATGAGCAGATGTGCAAAGCTGGAAGATGTGCAAAGGTGGAAATGTTGATCATGGTGCGGATAAGTATAGATATACTATGCGCAATTGTGTGTGTGTGTGTGTTCCAGAGGGCGTCCAAAGTAAAAGGTCGAAAGAAAACTTCTCGACTGGCAAAGCCCGGCCCAAGACGGGTTGGAGTGCCCGACATCGGCCTCACGCGAGGCCCATGGTTTCAGGGACTAGTTACTTGGGCATAGGTGTCCCTTTGGTTGGCGAAATCAAAAATCAATGGATGATTGATCCAGCTAAACCAGGGAAACCTCGTTTTTTTCTCCGCCCAAGTAAACCGGACACCTGTGGTCACTAGCTCATGCGATGACAGTGAGAATTTCTCGAATACGGCCAGTACGCCTCCGCCAACCCCCCTCCCCCGGTTTCCTGCAGCTGGAGGGCCTCCTCCATGCCTACCAGCGCTTCCTGCATCTTCTCCACGTGCAGCTTCACCTGCGGGGAAAAAAATCCCCCACCCCGGCCGCCTGCTTCCTTCTCATGTGGTGGGTCAACAAATCCTTCTCCGATCCTGGGTGTTGGACGTCTGAAACTGGCTTGCTTCAGTTTGTTTCTCCTAAGCCAGAGGCGTTCAAATTGACCCTAGGGTGTTGGACCCGAGCCTGCCCCCAAAACGGGGTTCCTATTTGGCCATGGGTCAAAAGCCAAAAGCCCGTACCCCCAGTGATCATCCCCATCCCCACTAAAATAGGTTCAAAAACGGGTGGTGCGCCTATCCCCCAAAATGGGATCCCAAAACGGTTTTGACAACCACAGCCATGTCTTCGGAATTTCAGGTGTCTTGTAGCACCTGGAAAAAAAGAGGCCGCAGCGCAAAAATTACTGAAACCCAACCCGCAAAAACCAACCATTGTTTGTTTCCCCCCCCCCCTCGTTCCAAATGAGCCGGAAGCCAACCACGGAAGCCAACCCGTGAAACACGAGCTAACCCCAACGGCACGTTCCCCAACCGCAGATGTTTGGGTTCAGCTGGACTTAAACGCCCCCAACCAAAAAAAACACGGTTGATGCCAACAAAAAGCCCTGGGTTAGAATGTGAGTCACACTCAAAACCTGACCCAAAAAGACAGGGGTCCCCGCATCTTTCCCTTCAACGGTGGCATTTTGCTTATGTCCATTGAAACGGTCGCCACTCTTGAAGCTTCCCTTGAAAGGGCAATGGCTCAAACACCCTTGGTGATTTCTCCTGTGGCTTTCCGGCGAAAAAACCAACCCCAAGCCTTGCCGTAAAACAACACCCGGTTCCAGGCGTTGCCAGAGGTAGCCAGGGGAAACCATCGGAACCCAGACTACCTTCACTTTACACCCTTGATATGGGCCTGCAAAACAACCTGTGGTGGTAAACAAACTGATTGGTTTTTGCACCCCCCCAAACCTAAAATGGCAACAGAACCCAAAAACACTCAAGTGGAAAGCCGAATCTAGACCATTGGTGTCCCCAGTACCATGGACCAGAGCAAAAACTGGCGCAGGGGGCAACCAAAACCCGCTGGCACTGAGGCAGGGGCATAAGCCAAAAACGGCTTAAAGGAAAAGGCGGAAGGATTGCCTACTAGCATTAAAAAGAAAAACTCTATTAAAGAAAAAAAACAAAACAAAACTCCAGTTACCACTATAGTAGGTAACCAAGGGGAAACCATCTGGTAAAACCTGGAGGTAAGATACCAAAGGGTTACAGGTTACCTGCTAGCATTGTTGTGCTTCTAATCCGAAGCGTCCCTTGCAGTGGTGTTTTTCTCCCAAGAAACCCAATGCAAGTCGTGGGTTGGTTGATTTTGTCACCAAACCCGTCACTTGCATTGGGTTTTCTTTTTCAAAAAAGCAATGCAAGTGGCTTGCTCGGCCCGGACAAAAGGGGTGAGCAAACCACCACGCGCATCTTTTGTGCGACTGGCCTGAGCCAAGTTCTCGGCATCCTGATGGGCCTCCTTTTGCTGCCGCTGCAGGCGCACCTAGCCCAAATGGCCCGGTTTTTCGGGCGCGTGTGGCTCGTTTTCTTTTTTTGATGGCGCGAGTTGGGGACCCAATTTTTGGATTGCGCTTTGTCATTGAAACAAGCAAACCACCCCACAAAAAAGGGGGACTCACACGCCGACACCTGAAACGGCAAATTTCCTTCTGGATTCCCTTCAATCCCGACAAAACATACACGGCACCCATGGCTTCTTTCAGCTAGGGGAAGAAAAAAAACGGAACCCCTCCCCCCCCCCTCCCTCCACTCTTCTCCCCCTCCCCAAAGAAAACAAAACAAAAAGAACAGAACAACCAAGCGGCGCCCATGTCTTCTTTCATCTTTGTCCCTTGACTTCCATCTACCCGGTCTTTGATCGTGGCTCGGGCGGGCTTTCTTCCCTGACGCGTCCTTTTCGAGCAAGCTGAAACGGGTACCCACCAAACACACGCTTGCACACGCACCAACTTGGCGTTTGGCTTCCCCTGTTCAATTTGCCACGAAACACCCAGGAACCAGGCCTTTAGAAACCAAACGGAACATGGCTACCTCCTGTGATTCCAATTGGCTTATACGATCTCGGCGGTTTTTTGTTCTCTTGCTAAAAGTTTAACTTTTAGTGGTTTAATACGGAAAACCCATGAGCTGGCAAAAGTGAAAGTCCTAACATCCAAGCAAAATGCACCAAAGTGATACAACTGCCATTGTTTACCTACGTTCATCACCTTGATTGGGTGCTTGCCATTCTTTTGACGGAGGTTGAACCGGGTTGAATTGGCGCGAAACAGGGTTCGGACCCGTTTTTCGCTTAAATGTTGGGAGAGAGGAAACTGTTGCCAGAGGTTGTGGTAAAGCTCGTCTTGTTGAAGGGCCAAACGGTGCTCCCTTTGCTTTCCCTGAACCCACCAAGAAGCAGGTCCCAACTCCTAAAGAAAAAGACGAGCCCATGTGGGGATTGGCCCCCAAATGACCATGAGTAGCATTTCCACACACTGGTCATCCCATGTCCATTGGACCTCAGGAAGGTCTTTTTGCCACCTTGTGAGAAAATGGGCGACCTGCTCAAAAAGGAATCCTTCACTACAAGAAAGTCCATCATTCTTCCGCGAAATCTGGCAAAAAGACCCCTTGTTTCCCAACTACCCTCATTCCCCAAGAGCCCAAAGCTGGCAAAAAGGACCCCCCTCATCCCATGTCAATTGACAGTGGCTCAAAATTAAAGAGCTAAGGTTACGCAGGTTTTGGTCCACGTTTCCACTTGCCAGGGTTCCATTTTGGAATTCCCGTTCTTTGAGCCATACCCAATTGGACCTTCTGCTCAACCCCCATGGGTTAAATGACGTGCCACTGGCGCTCGAATCCTCAAATCTCCCACGCCTCGAGGGTCTCCAGCCGCGAGTTGAGACGCGGCAAGCCTCGGGCGGTCTTTTGGGCGCGGGTTCGGTCGGTTGAGTACCCGGACCCGCAAAAGCACGACCCAAACAATGTGCGAGGGAATTCTCAGCAGCCATGAGTTTGGGGCTGGAAGCTTCTTGAGGGTCCAGGGTCGCCAAGTGCTAGGGGCAAAAACAAAACTTCTGAAGCCATCAGAGACGACGATTGATGCTTCATAAGATTATTGTTTTGGTACCTGCTGGGAGTGGATCAAAGGAAACCAAAAGGAAAAATCGAATACACCCCGCTGGAAAACGACATAGAAAACAGATGTCCAGCAGTGATAGATTCCCCTACAAAACCAAAGGGGGGACGTAGCACATGTTATTGAGCAAATGGAAGTGTGGCGGCTCCGAACCACATGAGAGTTGGGTCAATGAAAGTGTCAAAGCCAGCTAGAGTTAAGATTGCCGCTGGGAGGCAGAGATTGGAAACATCAAAATAATTATTTAGTGAATATTAGCAAATGAAATAGTGAATGGGAATAGTGAATTAAAACAATTGCGAATGGAAATAGTGAATGGGAATAGTGAATGGGAATAGTGAATGGACATACGCCTACATGGCGAGGTGACTAGGAAAAAGCAAAAAAACACTAACCTGCATTACATTTCACTAAATTTCACTAAATTTCACTAAAATTCACTAAATTTCACTAAATTGGATTTGCGAAATTTAGTGAAATTTAGTGAAATTTAGTGAAATTTAGTAAATTTCAGTGAAATTTAGTGAATCTCTCTCTAAAATTTCATTGAATTCACTCAGTTTCGCTAAATTTCACTAAATTTCACTAAATTTCACTAATTTTCACTAAATTGGATTTGCGAAATTTAGTGAAATTTAGTGAAATTTAGTGAATTTTAGTGAAATTTAGCGAAACTAATTAAATTCAATGAAATTCTAGAAAGAGATTCACTAAATTTCACTAAATTTCACTAAATTTCACTAAATTTCGCAAATCCAATTTAGTGAAAATTAGTGAAATTTAGTGAAATTTAGCGAAACTGATTGAATTCAATGAAATTTTAGAGAGAGATTCACTAAATTTCACTAAAAATCACTAAATTTCACTAAATTTCACTAAATTTCACTAATTTTCACTAAATTGGATTTGCGAAAACTAGTGAAATTTAGTGAAATTTAGTGAAATTTAGTGAAATTTAGTGAATCTCTTTCTAGAATTTCATTGAATTTAATTAGTTTCGCTAAATTTCACTAAAATTCACTAAATTTCACTAAATTTCACTAAATTGGGCTTGCGAATCTGCAAATCCATGTTTCCCAATTCACAATTTTGATTCACTAAATATGTCATTCACGATTTTGATTCACAAACTTTTTCACTATATTTCACTAATTTAATTCAAAACATGTGTTTCTCTGCCTGGTCCGGCAATCTTAAAGCTAGAGGAAGTTCCACAGAGAATCCTGATATTGGGTTGGTGTTGGGCCAATATCCTATAGAAGTTCTTGGTTTCTATGACAGTGACATCCTCAAAATGAACCTCTAAATGGCCGCAAGGAAAAACTCAAGACAAGTCTGTGGCCCCTATTCAAAATAGAAGATTGGCCAACTCCGTCTTCCATTGGACAGCGACTCGGGGGATTGACGTACTTTGGCCTTCTGGCTGAACAAGGCCATGGGTCAAAATTTGCTGCCGGAATGGGCATGGGGGAAAATCCAAAAGTCTGTCGTGTTTCCCAAATGGTGCACCCACGGACCACGTCGCTGCCCGTCAACAAGCCAGCCAAAAGCGGGGGGTCCTGATTGCAAGAAACGCACATTCTAGGCATTCACCGTTTTGGAATGGCTCTTTGGCCCCATCTGATTGGCAACCTCTTATCCTGGGAGTGCAAACAATCAGCTGGGTGCAAAAAAGTGGGGTACTCAGCCAGGCATGCAATCACCAGTCCTGCAAATCCAACTGCGGCATGGATGTTCCACTCCCGCCGTGAGATCGATCCCTGGGCCATTGATACGAATGAAGCGACCGGCTTGAAATCCCGCAGGTTTTCCTTGGTGACAAGCAAAGGAGAAATCCCTCCACACAGCTACTAAGCCTGTCTGACGTGCCCCAGCCCAGCTCAGCCCAGGCCGACCTCCTGCTCGCGTCTGGCCCCAAGTCATCCAGCAGGCCCAGCCGCTTCGGCGCAGTCTGACACTCAGGCCCAGTGTCTCAGCCCGCCTGCTGGCGTGTCTTACGTGTCTGCGACTGGTTTAGGCCCAGCCCAGCCAGCAACTCCACCCAGCCTCAGGCCCAAGTGTGTATGAAACAGGCCTTGCCCATCCAGCAACCCGCCCAAGCACAGCTCAGCCCAGCCCGTAGTCCGGCTGCCCGGCAGCCAGCAACCCACCCTGCCCAGCCCAGGCCCCGGCGCATCTCAGGCATGCCAGCCACTAGGCCGGCCCCCAGCTCCCAGCCCACCAGCAGGCTCAGCCCAGCGTGCCCTACTAAGCCTGTCTGACGTGCCCCAGCCCCCCAGTCCGGCTGCCCAAGCAGCTCAGCCCACCTCCTGCTTGCGTCTGGCCCCAACTCATCCAGCAGCCCCAGCCCCTTCAGCGCAGTCTCAAAGCCTGAGACTAGCCTCAGGCCCAGTCCCTCAGCCCGCCTGCTGGCGTGTCTTTCGCCAGGCCCAGCCCAGCCAGCAACTTGCCACCCAGAGGGCGTATGAAACAGGCCTTGCCCATCCAGCAACCCGCCCAAGCACAGCTCAGCCCAGCCCGCCCAGCCCAAGTTCCAGGCGCAACCAGCAGCGTAGTCCGGCTGCCCGGCAGCCAGCAACCCACCCATCACTTCGCAGCCTCGTGGCTGAGACTAGCTTCAGGCCCAGCCCAACCAGCAACCCACCTCAGCCCAGTCTCACGTCTGAGACTGCTCTCAAGCTGCCAGCTACCAAGCCTGTCTGACGTGCCCCAGCCCCCCAGTCCGGCTGCCCAAGCAGCTCAGCCCAGGCTGACCAGGCCTTGAACTCCTGCTCGTGTCTGGCCCCAAGTCATCCAGAGACTAGCCTCAGGCCCAGTCCCTCAGCCCGCCTGCTGGCGTGTCTATTGGGGATATTTTTCCGGGGTATGTACCTGTCTTGGGCTGAGCAACCGAGCAAGAAATGTATGTCATGGCAAGCCGCCAGCCACGTGAAATGGAGGTGCCCAAACACCCAAAGTTGGTCTTGGTTGTTCAGTGACACCAATTATTGTTCCCTTTTTTATGGAGGCCAAGCCCCACTAAAAATGCTCATCCCCAGAAAGAGGTCCTTTTTTTTCCAAGGGCACTGAGCAGCTGAGATAGTCTTGGTTTTGGATTTCAAACCTTCCGAGCAGGACGGCTTCCGAACATCGAACTAGCACGGGCGAACTGGTGCGGTCACAAGCTTTCAGTAGGATTCGGACCTTCCCAGCACTGGATTTCGGTGTTCCTGACCCTTCCCTCAAACTAGGCTGGGCCGAGGCGGGCAACGCGAAGCGTTTACAATTAAGAGGGGATTGGTAGCACAAGAGCTGGCCCTACAACTAGTAACCATAGCTTTTCTTTTGAATGACCAACAAAACATATGACTGTGGCTCAAAAAACCGGTACCAAAATGGAACCTTGGTAAGTGGACACACGGACCAAAACCCGCGTAACCCCATCCAGTTTAATTTTGAGCCACAGCCAAATATGTCCTTTTCATTCCACCGCCCCACTTTTTCCGAGAAAAGGGGAAAGGGGCCATTCTTCCTGATGTCGTCCAGCTGGTTGGCAGCGGTGTGCTGAAATTTCACGAACGCGGCGTGGGTGTCCTGAGTTTTGCGCGTCAAGCGGTTTTGAGTGCGCTCGAAAGATCGTGGGGGACATCCACCGGCCCTAGAGAAACTCACATAAAAGGTGGTGGGACGCCCTCAGATCCCCCGCTAAAAAACAAATCTAGTGGGTTAAACTCATTTGCTGAGGGGATGGCCCAAAAAAGTCCAAACTTGAAATTTACCACTAAAATGGTCTTCCCAAAAAGTTTAAAGTTCGTGAACACAGGAAGTGAGTAAATGGAAACTGCCACTAAACACTAAAAGCTACTAAACTGCTAAGGGGATGACTGGGAACCACCAAGTAAATTGGGAATGTCGCGTGATTTTGGGCAAAAGGAGTTGCTGTTTCAACGAGATCGGATTGGCCAACCCGAACGTTCCAACAGGTGAACGCGTTTTGACCTCAGTGCCCAGGAAAGGAACTCGAGCCAAGCTTTTGCGGGGCTTCGACTGTTTTGGGCCTTTCTGTAAACAACAAGCTGCTCTTTTTTGCACAAACAGAAGAAACATTTGGCTGTGGCTCAAAAAAAGGAAACAACGATGGAACCCTGGTAACCGGAACCAAGGACGAAAGCCTGTCGCTTGGCTTGATTGACTTTGGCCCAGACCCATTTCATGGGACCACGAAAACATCAGAACCTTTTATCTTTTGGTGCATGTTGCCAAGGGATCTTAGGACTTTATGTTTTTTGCCAACTAGTGGGTTTTTCCGTATTGAGCCACGAAAAGTTATTCACTTTTGGCAGGGGAGCAGAAACAAACCGAGAATCAGGACCCCCTTTTCACCTCAGGTCTGGGCTTCGCCCCACCCATCTCTGCGCGCTCCGGTTGTCACAGGCGTCTGGGCTCCCGCGCATCTGCCACGCGCTTGGCCTGCTCCACACGGCCCGAGATGCCGGAGTAGCAGTGGCTCAGGAAGTCGTTGGACCTAGGCTGGTGGGTGTGGGTTGGGGGTTGGGGGTTGGGGGTGGAGGGTGGGGGTGGGGGTGGGGGGCTGGAGGTGGGGAGGTGGGGGGGTGGGGGTGGGGGTGGGGGTGGACACGTTGCTCAACACGCAAAATGCGGGTTCGATTCACTTTCGACAGTTTGCGGGGCTGTAACTTGTGTCATGGACGAACGTGGCAGGCTCGGAACACATCGCTTTTTCCACCTTGCCGCTGTGCCATGTTCCGGCCTTTGCCGCCGCTACCTCTTCTCCTTCGTCTTTTCCCTCTTCTCCGTCTTGCTCTTCTTGAGATTCTTTTCCGCAGCTCCTTCTCCAGCTTCTTCTTTTCCTTCGCCTCCGTCGGCACCTCCTTCGCACCCTCCGGCGGCCCCGTCACCGACCTTGGCGAGGGCGTGGAGGACTCGCCTTCGCCGGGGCCGATCACATACTGAAAGTTGTTCGGAGCTTACCTTATTTATCACTGCCTGGCACAAAATTTACTCTCCTTTCGCCAGGGCGCCGAGTACCGCGGCGGTGAGAACTTCTGGCCCTGCCTTTGTGCCAGAGGTTGAGAGGGGCGGGGTGGCGCAGGCACCGGCGGGGTCTCCGGCACATACATCCACCTGCCTGGGCGAATCTCCGGCACGGGACACGGCGGCGGCGGCATCGCCTCAGTCAGCCATGTCTTCCCAAAAGCAATCAGCCGCTTTAACGAAGGGTAGGAAAGCAATCTGAGCCAAGCAAAAAGAAAAAGCTTGGGCGGCGCAACATTTTCTGCCAAGCATCCACCGTGACGAGCCTGCCTGGGCTCGGAGTGAACTGCGGCATGACTGGCGGCGGCCTGCCGAACATCCGCCAGCTCAGCAGCTCAGTGAAGCGAGGGCGACCAGTTCCGCGTTCTCCGCCGCCTTCAAAATCCTACCATGCCCTGAGGCCCTACAGTTTGTTCTTGGCATCTGGGGCTTTAGTCTTTTCGCGAATGGAGGGACCACAGAAAGCTGCGCAGTCAAGTTTTTCTCAAGAGGCCTGTCTCTCCGCCACAACCGCTGGCGCCAGCTCCACCACCACCGTTGGCGGGTGTGGGTGGGGGTGGGGGTGGGTGGGGTGGTGGGGTGGGGGGGTGGGGTGGGGTGTGGGGTGGTGTGGGGTGGGGTGTGGGGTGTGGGGTGGGGTGGGGTGGGGTGGGGGGTGGGGTGGGGTAGGGTGGGGTGGGGTGGGGTGGGGTGGGGTGGGGTGGGGTGGGGTGGGGTGGGGTGGGGTGGGGTGGGGTGGGACGCATGCGGTGTTGCTTATGTTGGCTTCGCCGGTCTTCAACAGCATGTTGACACACAGCATGAAGGAGAAGACAAGCCGACAGATCAAGTTACCTGGCAAGAATCCGGAAGAGTTCAAAGTGCTGCTGCAGTTTCTTCAGCCAGCGGCAGGTCGGGTGCAGAAGATCTCGAATGAGAACGTAGACTTTCTTGCAAGGGGTGGGGTGGGGTGGGGTGGGGTGGGGTGGGGTGGGGTGGGGTGGGGGGGGGTGGGGGTGGGGGTGGGGGTGGGGGTGGGGGTGGGGGAAACAAAAAGGAAGCCAACCATTTTAGGGACAACTATTTTTTGAGAACCCCCAACCAACCAACCAAGTGGGTGAAATTGGAAGCCCAACCACTAAACCCGCCAAAAAAACAGAAAAAACTAAGAAACCCACTAAGCCAGCCAAAAAAGAACAGACAAAAAACTAAGAAACCCACTAAACCAAGTAAACACAAAAACAACTCAGAAACTCACTAAACCAAAAAAACTAAGAAACCTACTAAACCAAAAAATGAAATAATAATAAACATAAGAAACCCACGAAACCAACCAAAAAACAAAAAACTCAGAAACTTACTAAACCAGCAAAAAAAAACACAGGAACAACTAAGAAGCCCACTAAACCAATTAACAACAAAAACAACTCAGAAACTCACTAAATCAGCACACACACACACAAAAAAAAAAAAAACGAATCCCACTAAACCAGCAAAAGCTGAAATTGTTAAAGCAAAAACAACAACACAAACACTAAGAAAATCACTATCCAAACAGAAACCCAAAATTCACTACACCAGCCAAAAAAAACACATGAAAATAAGAAACCCACTAAACCAGCCAAAAAAAGAAGAAGTAACAATAAGCGTAAGAGGCCCACTAAACCAGCCAAAAAACACACATAAACATGAAAATAAGAAGCCCACTAAACCAACCCAAAACCAAAACAACTCAGAGACTCACTAAACCGGCAAAAACAATGTTGTTGGAAGCAAAAAAAAAAGAAACACCAAAAAATCCCACTAAACCAACCAAAAACCAAAAAAATCGGAAACTCACTAAACCACCAAACCAAGCAAAAACCAACAACCAAAACAAAGAAGAAACTCACTAAACCAGCCAACAAACAAAACTACAAATAAAATCAAAAAAAAAGAAACCCACTAAACCAGCAAAAACCGAAATTGTTAAAGCAAAAACAACAACACAAACACTAAGAAATTCATTAAACCAAACAGAAACCAAAAATACTCAAAAACTCACTAAACCACTAAACCAGCAATAGCCAAGAAACAAAATAACAATAAACAAATAAGAAACTCACTAAACCAGACAAAAAACTAAAATTAAACACTAAAATAAGAAACCCACTAAACCAACCCAAAACCAAAAAAACTCAGAAACTCACTAAACCAGCAAACCAAGAAAAATTCACCAACCACACAAAAAGAGAACAAACTCACTAAACCCAGCAAACCAGCCCAAAAACATAAACAAACAACACCGAAAATCACTAAATCAAGCAACAAACAAAAACAACAAAACACTCAGAAACCCAGCAAACCAGCGCAAAAAAGAAGACAGAACTCAGCTTCAGGACTTCCAAAACCTGGCTTCGCTGCTTCAGGGCCCCGGGTTTTGGGCCCCTCCAAGCCCTCGGCCCTGGGCCCCCGGGCTCTGCGAGGCCCCTCACCTCCCCGGCCTGCTCCGCCAAAGTGGAGCCCAGCTGCCTGAGTTCGGCGAGTTCGCCCCTCAGTTCAGTGACCCTGGAAAAAAAGGGGAACCCCTTTTTGGGGCTTGGACCGATTTTTTAGTGCCACCAAAAAAAAGGGGAAAATAATTGGGGCCGCTGAACAACTGAGTCCCCCGACCCCCTTTTGTGGTGTACCTGGACCAACTTCCATTGGCTTTTCGGTTCCTGGAAAAAATGTGAGAGATGTCCAATCTTTCTAGGGCTTGAGTCCTTGTCCATTCTTTTCAGCCATCGTTCTTTTCAAAAACCGATCGCCAGTTCCCCAGGGTTTTTGGTGGTTTTCTAGAAAGAAGGATCCATGGAAAGAATGGGGAAGTTACCCCTACAGTCATAAGCAAAACCCACGAGCTGTTTGCTTTCCGAAATGTTCATCCACCCCAAAATGGGATCGCCACAGGTTATGTTTCATGGCCATAGCCCCCCCAAAGGAGTCATACTCAAAACCAAAGTGATGTTGCAGATGGATCTTGGAACTGGAAAGAAATCGCCTGACCTGCTCCATGTGAGGCTTTGAGACCCTCCTTCCTATATTTGCCTTGAGTCCAGTCCGGCAGTCCATACGACTGGAAGTCCTTGGCGCCTCCCCAGCTGTTACTTACCCCTTAAAACTCCAAGCCCTGGGGAAGTTAATCTTTTACAGACATATAGCCCATGTTACCCAACAAGTTGAAAAGTTGTGTTTTTAAGAGGTAAGTTTAAGTCCAACCCACCTTGGTGTTGTTTTCTCCTGGCTCAAAACAAAAAAAAAAACAGGTGAGCCGACCGTCAGTTGAGTCCGAGTCAAAACCCGGTACACAAATGGTCGATCCCCAGAACCATGCTTCAAGAACTAAGGCGGAGATCCGCAGCTATTTATGCCTTCATCTACCCGAGTTTTCAGGCTCAAATGGCCGCGGCTCGTGGATTTGCTGTTGCTCCTGTTTCGGGCGCCTGGAACTGAAAAAGTTCGAGCTGTACCCTCCCCATTCTCTTCAGGGATCATTCTCTTCAAAAAATAGGCCAAACCCCTGGAACATAGGCGGTTAAAGAGAACGATGGGTGAAGAGAATGCGGACTCAAACCTTAAAGTGAAACACCGCAAAGAGACGTGAAACCACTGAGGTGGTTGGTGACAGACAGAAAAAACCTTCGAAGCCTGGCCCAAAGGTTTTGAAGCTGGCACAAACTCAGCCAAGGAATCCAGACCTGGAACCGAAAGAGCGACCCAGAAAAAAAAAAGAAGGTTGGACAAGTGTTGCTCACTTCGACCACCGAATTTTGTGCAATCGCCCACTTTTTAAGTCGACGGTTTTCGGGTCCAGGCAAACGATGTTGGTGGTTTTGAAGCTAAAAGGAAGGAGAAAGAGGACCTGCACTATCGATGGACCCTTGAGTCAAGTCGACCAAGCTGGTTGGCCCTTTTTGGCTGGTAGGATTCTCCAAAATGGTCTCCGAATATGGTTGGCTGTTTCTTGCCTTGGTTGGTCCCCGAATATGAGTTGCCTGTGTTTTGCCTCTTGGCGTCCCAGAAAAACCCAAACAAAGGAGGCAAATGGCTTGTGAGTTTGAATAGGGAACCCCGCTCTTTGGTGGGCGGACACAAATCCCCAAGCTGAATGATGTCCGGGAGGCTATCCTAGGTCTTCCAGTAGACAGGTTAGAACAAGGGTGCCAACTTTTTTCTGTAGTCTATTTTAGTAGGGGAACCCTCCCAACCAAAAAGGGGAGAGAAGGGCACCTAGCTGGGGGCCCTAGTATCCCTATCGTTGTTCCGATAGAAAAAGTGAAGCCATTGGAGCCAATAGGTCGGCTGCCATGCGGGCTTCTCCCAAATGAGAGGAGCCCCCACACTCCCTTCCCACCCAAGTGCTGTCCAAAAACGCAGCCGTTGGGGCTGGCATTTTGGTTGAGAGTCCACAAGAAGTGTTGGTTGCGCTTACACTTTGTCCAAAAGCTTTGGTCTGGAGTTGTCGGGCCGACGTTCAGCAGCGGTTCTATCAACATGAACACCAACAAACCCAGCGCGCCTTGCCACAAGCAGTCTTTCTGGGAAAGCCTGAAAACCATACCCGGAAGTCAATAGATCTACACCGCGCAACTGAAAACACGGCCCAACATGGTACCGTGGTTTTTCTTTTGGGCCTTACTTCAACCACAAGACCAGGTGGGGGAACCCACTGGAGCCCTTTCTAAGCAAGAAAAGCATATTGTACCAGCTGGCCCCCGCCAGCCCAGCTCACCAGAGTCGAGCAAAACTTCGGTGTCCTTTTGGAACGGCCCTGCCATTTTCCGAACCTAGTTTTGAAAGGGTTCCCTGGACTACACGATAGGAAAATGGAAGCACTGGGCTAAGTTATACCACAACCCTCGAATAGAGTCACAAACTGAATTAATAGGCTGGTTCTGACCCTAGGTTGCCTTTGGGAGAGAAAAAAAACGACGATGGCACTGGTAAGTGAAAATCGAACCAAGCTGATCGAACTATGTTCAACCAAACCGACCGATGAAAGGCCACCAAACTCTTCTTGCCAATTGGTGTCGGCATTTCGAAGAACTTACACCATGGTCCTTTCGTTTGCTTCCAAAGAGCTCAAACCTTCGAAACGTGGGTTTAACGTTCACCCCTTTCCACAATAATGTTGGCGACCAATCTGCGCGCGGCCTCTCTACAACTTTTGCATGTGTGTCTTCTGCAAGCTTTCCTTGTGAACTTTATTTGCTGAACGGGGGGTCTTCTTACCGCCTTTGCTGGAAAAATGCCGGCAAAAAACGACACTCTTGACCTTTTACGGGGTGACTCCCCCTAAATCGCCCCAAAATTGTGGTTGAGGCGAATCCCAACCTGTTTCTGGGCATATGGGGTCGTTCTTTATGGAGTGAAACATTTCCTTTATTTGCTTAAGACCCCTGGGAGAAAAAAAAAAAAAAAACGGTACTGACCAACAGGGGGAGATAAACCATATTCGTTTCAGCAAATGGAAGTTTTATGGGGTGGCTCCCCCTCTCGTTCTTGGTCCAGAGGTCTCCATTGCCCTCCCGGAAACTCGTTAAGTGGGACTGGCCTGGTGGAATCCTGAAGCGCCCGGAGTTGGTCGTCCATCTTCTCGTGGCTGCCGCGGTAGGACCTCGAGGGTCTCGATTGGAGTACCGCTGGGTTAGGCGTACCCTACTCCAAATACCCGGCACCTTTGTTCAGTTGGTAGCATGTCGACCCTCTACTAAAAAAGGAGGTACTTACCATTAAAAAAAAAAACGGGTTCCCAAAAAAGCCCTGAAAAAGGCGGGTATTTTGAGTAGGGGGTAGGGGTTGCATGGGCCCATCCAAATGGATAGCTCAAATCTCAAGATAGGGAATCGACATATGGATGCACTTTGGGGGTTTGGGGTACTCATAGTGACTGACCTCGAGTTTCTCGGCCTATGTGGCTTGGTCGATTGGTACAGGTTGTAGGGGATTCATATGGATCAATTTTGGAGGTTTGGGATGCTCATAGTGACTGGTCTTGTGAGCATACGGGAATATACTGTGCATGGTTGCGGAATCCTGTCGCGCGAAAATGAAGGAGAAAAAAAACAAAAAACGCTTGACACCATCAGGTTTGTGGGTGTTTACGTACGGGCATCGCATATCGGCGTATATCCTCGGGTTGAGGTGCAGAATTCTTCGGCCATCCACATCCCTAACTGGAAGATCTCGTCCACAAGGGGAAGCCTCAGAATATTTTCAACGGCCCTTCTATTTTCCCTGCCAAACCCAAAAAAGGGTACCAGCTCAAAAAAGACACAGCGAAATGTGAAAGGAATGCCAAGAGTCTAACAGGACTGACTCGCGTCAGCCCAGTCCTTTGTGTGCAATGCGATTTGCTCTGCCCATGTCTAGCTCTTGCCCGCGTCTCCAACAGGAAACCCAACTTTATGGCATTTCGAGGGCAAGAAACTGATTCGTGCGAAATCACCAGTAGGTTCTTGTTGCGTGACCTGTTCCTTGGATCCCTGGCAGTACTTTGGAAATCCGCAGTGAATAACTGGGATCGAACAATCCCATCTTGGGAACAAAGGAACTCAGCAAAACCCCCCAAAACTTGTTGCTAGGTCCTCCAGTAGAGAGGTTAGGTACCAACTTCTTTTGTAGTCTTTTTTAGTAGGGGAACCCTGCCACCAAAAAGTTGGTAAAAGTTGGCACCTAGCTGGGGGACCTAGGTTGTCTCAGTTGCCTGGTTCGATCAGGTGATCACCAATTGCCACTTCACAAGCGGAACCCACGGGGAAACGAAAAGGTCCATCGATTTGCAAGCGCAAGTGGGTGGTTTGGTTTGGTGCTTTGGACGCCTTCCCCCCCCCCATGCTTCAGGAAGCAGGGTGCCAACCACCAATCCGAAGTGCCTTTGGTACCTGAACAACTGAGTGTCCAAAAAGAGAGCCGAGCACCGGGGCCGGCAAACCCAGACAAAAGGTTGGAAACCCGGGCACCCACCCACAATGTGGGGGCGGCTGCGAGAATTCCAGGGGTCGATTCCCCATTCTTTTCAACCACCGTTCTTTTAAAAAAGAAACCGCTGTTTCCCCTGGGATTCTGATGGTTTTCTGGAAAGAAGGATCCCTGGAAAGAATGGAAATGGAAGTGTCCCCTAGAATAATTTCATCATTTTGACGTTGGAATGTTTTTTGAGGGGTCCAGGCACCCAAAAACCGGCCCCACCTGCGAATTCCACAGCCCCCCCTTCCCGCACCCCGCTGATCGATCCATGAGTTCCCGCGCTTCAAATCCGCCCGCATCAGCTCCAGCTGCTCATGGACCTGAGGAAAAAAAGAGAGAAGAAAAAGCGCATGGCTTTGAAGTGTGGGGGTGAGGTGGTGAAGGTGGAGGTGGGGGTGGGGGGTGGGGGTGGGGGTTGGATAGGGGTGGGGTGGGGGTGGGGGTGGGGGTGGGGGTGGGGGTGGGGGTGGGAGTAAAGTGTAGAGACCGCTCAAAATGCGTAGGTCTTTCTTTGGGACCCCCCCCCCCGAAAATGGCGCGATTTCCGGTGGTCAAGTTTTGGCTTTCCTTTGACACCACCAATCAAAAGGGGGTAGCATGCTGCTTGTCCTTTGGGGGGGACGTTCCTTTTGGTGTTCCTTTCAAAACTGGGGCCCTGAAAAGCCGGCGAGCCGCCTGTTTTTGGGCGGCTTCCTTTCGGAAGAAACCCAATGAAGAACCGACCGCAAAAAGGAAATCAACACAGACATATTCAACTGGAAATGGCCGGCCACTCCTTTTTCTTGGGCATGCCTTTTGGCCGACGTGGTTTCACCTAACCCTAGTTAGTGATCTGATTTGGAGGTTTGGAAGTTGGCGGGTGTTGATCCCCATGTCTACAAGAACCAGAGAAGCTCGAATCCCCAAGCCAGTCCAAACCCATAGGAGCCTGACGTACAATGGCTGTCCAAAATTCCCTCAGGGATCCATGACCAAGGGCTCGATGATTGCAACTCAGTTCCGTCCAGCCCTAAGCCCAAGTGTATGGCAACTCCCAGTGGGTTGGATCGGCCGGGGGGGATCTGAACGTGTAGAGAACCAATGAGAAACCACCGGAACACCTCCAAACCACCCAAAACCAAGTGGAGGGAAGCTGATTCCATGAAGCTTCACCTGAGTTTCCTGAACGGGTCAGTCTTTTTGGGCGTTTCACCGCAGCTTCGCGCTTCCCCTTGGTGTCCCTTCAAAACCCACCCAAAACTGAGCTGCGCCAAAAAAAAAGTGGCAGCCTTTACTTCGGCTCTGGGCTCTCGAGCTAACCCCGGCCTTGCAAGGCCCGAGAACTTGTGTAGCTTGGCTTACCCCTTAAAACTCCAAGCCCGGGGGAAGTTAATCTTTTACAGACATATAGCCCATGTTACCCCCCAAAAAGTTGAAAAGTTGTGTTTTTAAGAGGTAAGTTGGATATACCTTTGGCCATTGTTTGACAGCGATGGGTCTGCCTCGCTCAAAGTATTTTCAAAAAAACTCAAACAAACCAAGGGACTAACTCCCATGAGCCACACTCAGGGAAGTGGACAGATGTGGGGGTTGCTGCGGGCTTGGAGGGGTTCCCTCTAGAATCATCTCCCTCATCCAAGTATTTGCCACCATTCGGGAGCCATGTGAGTGGCATCCGTGACTGCCGCATTCCCTCCATTTGCTGAAGTCCCCTGATTTGTTTTATGTTGTTGTTTTTTGTCTATTCGTGCTAGATTCCCTTGAAAACCAGCAGGGCAACAATAATAGTAATAATAATAACAAAAACCAAAAAAACATTTCAGCAAATGGACGCCTCCGTCAAAAACTGGTGGCCTGGCCGTGGATGTATTTTTTTTGGAAGATGCTCGGCGCCCCGCCATGCCCGCCCCCGCCCGCGATGCCCGCGCCCGCCCGGCGCCCGCGATGCCCGGCCTTGGAGAACTCGGCCTCGACCTTCCGGTCGTCGGCCTTGGTCTGGATCTCCGGCACCAGCTCCTTCCGCAACGCCCCCACCGCCGTGTGCGCCTGCCGAAAATTTGACGTCCGCGTCCGAGGGCTCCGCTTCAAACACTTTGGGAGTCTGTGAGCTTGAAAGCTGTGCGAGCCTTTTTTTGCAATGTCCGCGGCCTTGTCAGCGCGCCAAATGTCCAAGTCATGCTGCAAACTCTACAAGGTGCATGTCAAGCTCCGGGCTTCCAGTACTGCACCCCGGGATCGGGAATTTCTTGGTTGAGGTTGGGCTTGGGGAGCAAAAAACATATAAATTTTAGCAGTTAAGTGGTTGGATTTCAACCACTAAACCACAATAAGCAAGAATGTAAAATGTTTCCCAACAAAAACCATGGGTTGAGGGCAGAGGGGTGGCGCTACGGGTTGGGTTCGAACACCCAACGGGCGCGGCCGTGGGCTGAGAATACGAAAAAGTGGCCCTGGGAGAAGACGCTATGGTGCTTCCAGAAACGGGTACCCCACGAATTTCTTGAGGTTTTGTTGGACTTCCGCTGTCCCTTTCGTTGGAGCCTCCAACCGCAGGGACTTCGAAATACCTAAGCTGTCCAACTGAAAACGACCCATGATCAACCCCCACCCAGATCCATGAAGTGTGAGTTTTCATGGGACATTTCTGGGGCTCTGGCTGGCAAAAAACACCTGGCTTTGAAGGAGTGGGACTGCTTCGAGGGTTGATTCTCTCTTTCATGGGTAGTTTTGGAGGCTCCAGGTACAATGTTCACAACCCGGACATACAGCAAAACCCACTGAGGGACCTTCATGGGATCGTTCTATTTCAAGTTGTGTAGTGTTGGGGGTCCTGGGCCTGCCGGTTGAATACCACGGGTTCATTCCGAGGTTGACATTCTAAGGGTTGATTCCTTTTCCATTCTTTCCAACCATCGCTTCTTTTCGAAGACCGGATCCGTTTTCCTGGGTTTCCGGAGGTTTTCTAGAAAGATTCGGATCCATGGGTTAAGAATGGTGAAGGTAGCACTAGACGCTGGCTGAATGCGGGCTTTCCAAACCCCGAACGACTCCCTGCACATGTCCCTGACTCAGTTGTTCCGTGACCCTGGAAAAAAAAGGAAACCCTTTTTGGGGCTTGGACCATTTGTAGTGAGGCATCCACGAAAAAAAAGAGGGAAAATGGGTGCCACTGAACAACTGAGCTGAGAGAGCGATGGAAGCTCCATCTGCCAACTTGAGGCGGCCGGGCCCAAAGTCACATTCTAAACCTCCATTTGCTTAAGTCCACTGGGAAAAAATATGTCCAGTTGTGAAATCGATTCCCTTTAAAACCAACAGGGGAAAATTAACAAAACAAAAAACTATTCATTTCACCAAATGCAAGAAAACCAGTGGAACCCCACACGGCTTCACCCTAGACACGTCACAGCCCATGTTTCGCGAGTTGACCCGTTGACCCCATTTCCACAGCTCACCCCGCGAGGCCTCCAAAACGCACCCCCTGATGTCCCGGAATGGGATCCTCCCAAAAAATGCAGGGCAGCTTAACAAAAACAAAAACTAAATGATAAGAATGGTGTTCCTTTTGGTTTCCCTTTGAAATCAGACAAAAGGCGACCCAACCAAAAGGAAAACCCGCGGTTTCAACGGGAACCCTCAGCCTTCCACCTCTCGATTTGCTTCCGACGCCGCCTGGTTCACATCCAGCGTCAGCGTCATCAGCTCATGGCCGTGCTGCCTCGCATCCGCTTCCCAAAATCGCGGCTCGCTTCGCTCGACCAAATCGCTTGGGAAACAGATCAACCAGAAGCAAAACCACAAGCACAGAGGTGTTCCTTTTTTGTGGGAAGGCGCGATCCAGTAAGGGCCAAGTTGCATACCCCAAATGGGGATGTACCCCAAAATGGGTGGCCATACGCGGGCTTTACAGGGCCCATGCCTCGTTTTCCATCCCTACATAAGGCCTATAGGTGGGTGTGTCCATTTGGGGTATGTAAGTTGGTTTTGCCTCAAATGAGGAAACCAATGTGGCAACGACTTGCGTTTTTAGCTTCCCTGGAAACACCACAACAAAAAGGGGCACGCTCAACAAAAACACACACACACACACCCATATCTGATCTGCAAAAGTTTGAGGTTGTTCACAGGGCAGGCAGTGCAGGTCTGATCGAAAAAGCCTCCACTTAGGTTTAGTCCTTGTTTCCATTTACCAGGGTTCCAAAACGGGTACCCATGTTTGACCCACTGCCATTTCTTTCTGAGTCCGAACACCTCCCAATGGTCCTGTTTGGAAAAGCTCGGGTTTCAGCCCCGCAACCACCCAGCGCTTACTGGGTAGCCTAAAAACCCAACCCCCCCCCCCCCGATAAAACAGATGGAACCTCCAGGTTTAACGTGCCCAAACAGGATTCTCAGGCAGCCAGAAACGAAGCCCAGCTGCGCAGAACACCCAAACCGAACCCCCCAAACAGCCAGAAACGGGTCGCGAACCGACAGCGAGCGCCCAGCGAGCGCCCAGCGAGCCCAGCGAGCAGAAGCCAAGTCCGAGGCGCTTCACCACGGTGTTGGTGTGCCGCAGCTGCTCTGAGCCTCGCTGCATCTCCCCCCGTAGCACCTGGCAGTCTGCCGGCCGCAAGGCCGCGGGCGCATCGGAGGGATCTCGGGGCGCATGGTATGGCACGTAGTACCCCTTTGCAAGTTGAGCCGATACCGTGGTGGAGCCTTTTTCCACCCAAAAAACCCGGCTGCCTGTTTTTTTTGTTTTTCCAAAGAAAGCGTGCAGGATTTGATTTTTGTTGGTTTAAGAATGAAGCCTTTTTCTGATCCCCGAAACCACTGGGATGGTTCAGTGAACGGCCCGAAACTTCCCTGAGACTCGGCAAGTACATCGCCTGGAGTAGTCGGGAGGGTGGACATGAAGGGTCAGTAGGTAGGAACCAAGCTGATTTACACGGTCCCTCAATTTCCTACGCAAAAAACATGGAACGCAAAACGGGTGCAAGAGAAACGGTTCGAAGGGAAAGCACGACAAGGTCCCTGAACCCTAACATGCTTCACCTGGAGTCTCCTCCTCAAGACATGAATGTGTCCTTTCTTGTGGGGAGCTTTGTTGTTTTGAAGGGACCAAGAGCAAACCACCCATTCTTGGGGGGCACGTTCATCCGGGTGGTGGACTTTGAGCGCAAGGATCCCCCGGTTTTAGGGGGGAACGAGTGAAGCAGCCCGCGGCATTTCGAGGGAGCTCCCTGGAAATGAAACGAGATCACCTTTTGGGGCCACCAAAAACATGGGAACCAGACTTGGGATAGCCAAAACAGGTCCCATCCGATCGATGCGCCCACAAGTGAGACGCCATTTGCTCAAGTCCCCTGGCAAAAATAAAAATAAAACATCCAGTAGTGACAGATTCCCAGTAAAACAAACAGGGGGAAAAACAACTTAACCAAACGGAAGGTGAGACGTCAGGCCGCTTTCCACGTCTCGCCGGTGAGACTCGCCCGCGAGGGTTTTTTTTCGCCTCGCCTCCAGCTCGTCCTGCAGGTCCTTGAGCCGCTGGGAGAAGGGGCTCAGGGTGCTGAGCAGGTGCTGGTGCACGAAGGCCTGCATCTCCTCAGCAAAACATCCACCTCCGGCGCGAAACGCGCGGCAGGGTTGTTCACCTGGAGAGAGAGACTTGGGGCCAAAGTGTCGATTGAAGTTTTGTGGCCCCCATGAAAAGAAGCCCAAAAAGAGTTCCCGCGCGGAAGGCGCGGCAGGGTTGAACCCTGAGACTCTCCTCAGAAAAAAAAGAAGAGAGAGAGAGAGAGAGACTTGGGGCGATCGATCCGGCAGTTGAGCTTGAGCGCGTGAAAAACCACGGAGCTCGTCTTTTCCCTGAGCCCACCGACCCCTCCAAGCGTCGAAGGAAGTTGAACCCCCGCACTTGGGGGGGGGGGTTCAAGAAAATCCTCATGGTCATGGTTGCCCGGGGTGGTTGCCCCCCTGGGCGTAAAGAGAAATTCGCCCGACGAAACGAACAACTTGATTGTCTTCACAAGGAAGCTTACAAACTAGATGAACCAAGCGCTGGGTACCCTGGTATTTGCCCGGAATGTCCCTTAAGTGGTTTGCAGCGTCATTCTCTGGGTGAAAGTACAGGCCACAATTCCATCATGTTGGTTTAGTCATCCTCGCCGGCACAACGGGATTGTGCCAAGTCCACCCTTTTCACCCCCGCTGGGAACAAACAGACATGTGGAGTGTCGAAATAGTGGAACCCCAAAACGGGTTTCGGTTTGAACCAACCCTGATTTCCGGTACCCAGCCTCAAAAAACAGAGTCACCGTGTCAGGATTTCTCTAAATGGGGGGACTCGGACCCCTGCTGGTTGATATCTAAAGGGAAGCCGAAAGGAAGCTGTTGCCGCTTTTTGGGAAGCCTCCTCACTTTGAGGCAAACCTGCACAAAAGATATCTTCAATGGAGAACCCAAGAATGGGCTCTATTTCCCAGACCAGAGTTGGTCAGGGAGAAAAAACAGCACACTGTTCCTTGGTTGATGTTGGAAGGGGAGCAAAAATTAAATGTTAGCAATTAAGTGGGGATGTCCCACTCAACCACAATAAGCAAAAATGTAAAATGTTTCCCAACAACAACCGTGGTTCCCTGGTTGTTTCAAGGGTTGTGGTGGTGCTTTGAAACCACCAAAAAGATTGGCACCCCCTCACAAGAAGGACAACCCCTTGTCGCCTTTCGCGCCGTTCGAGCCGAAAAAACCGAGGCGCCATCTCGTGCTCGGTGGTCAACCAGGCGGCCATGCTCGGGTCCAGCGTGGTCTCCTCGCGTTTCTTCGGCTGCACGCGGAGAATCTCAAACCAGGGACCCTACCCAGTGCTTCCACCTACCACTTTACAGGCTTTGTGGTTGGTTCACTCAAGTAAACTCATACTAAAATGGCCCCTCTTTGGGGATATTGCATATTTAGACTACCCAAAAACGGGAATTGCAACTAGGTCCTCCAGTCGAGAGGTTGGAACAAGGGTACCAACTTTTTATGTAGTCTATTTTAGTAGGGGAACCCTCCAAAAAAAGGTAAAAGTGCACTACTGGGGGACCTAGACCACAATACATAGGCAGCCGGGTACTTTATACCTCCAGGTTTTGCCGTGGATGGTGAGCTATAACTCAGTGCTTCCAGCTTATGCGCTTCAAGCCACTTTGTATCTCCAGGTAAAAAAACAAAAAACAAAAGCAGGGATGGCTTCCCCTGACCTAGTGGTAACTGGAGGTCCGATCTTCCCGTTGGTTGGTGCCCTAGCAAACTCAGACTTGGGGTCCAAAAGGTTTTAAGCCGATAGGGGAAAACATGGCGAGAGGCGAAGGCTAGCCTTTCAGGTTGGAAAGGGAAACAGGGAAGCCATCCGTTTTCGGGTCCCCCTTCTTGACTAGTACCGAAGTGGATGGAACATTTCGTGAGCCCCCTGGCTTTTGTTGGAAACTAAATGAGTCCCCCATGTCCCTCAGAGAGTTGATCAGGCAATATACCAAAATCCAGCGGGCAAAAGGAATCCCAACCAACCACTGGTCGCCGAAAGCATCCATTCCCCAAAAGGGGTTTTCACGGGGTTCTCACTCACGGTGTTCTCACGGTTGGAGTTGTGGCGCGTGAAATGGTTTTTGACCACAGGTTGGCCGGGAGAAGTTCTTTGGGGGGAGTCTCCTTTGGGGAATCGGGAAGATGTAGGCTAGGGACGTGAACACCTTCCTGCTCAAAATCGGTTCGGCGGACGTGAACACCTTCGGCTTCCCGATTCCAACCTTTTCCGCATCCCCAGTTAATTCGGGTTCGGGAAGAAAGCAGTCTTCTTGTGTCGACATAAATCTAAGAAAGGCCCATGCATAGGTTTGGCTGGTTTAACTCCTACCCCGGCCGCCTGCGAGGCAGGCATCGTATCCGCCATGGCTCTGGATCCGAGCTGCTCGAAGCAACTTGCTTGGCTGCTCTTTGCTAGTTCTTCTCCAACCCTTCATATACGAAGAATTGTCACCTTACCCAAAAAGCCACAGTGATGCTGACAGCTGTTTTTGCGCAGCCACCCCTCCTCGGCCGAATCCCCCTTGGATATGAAGCTGGAGCCGAGCGACATCGGCATTGCATGCCATTGCATCTTTTTTTGGGGGGGAGATCCCTATTTTGGCGCATCAACTTCTCTCATGGACACGGCCTGCTTCGCTTGTTCCCTCGAATGGACGAGTCCGCATGGCCAACAAAGGTAGACCCTCAGAGAAAACGAACCGGCCATGGCTGCTAGGTCCTCCAGTTGAGAGGTTAGAACCATGTAGTCGAGTTTAGTTGCTTGGGCTAGGCGGCTAGGCCCAGAAACACCACAGGAAGGCAGCCACTTTTTCCAGCAGCGTACTTCTCTCCCCTTTTTTGGGGGAGGGTTCCCTATGCACCTGACGCGGGTTCGGTTGACCGGTGTCCTCGTCCTTTGGTTGGTCTTTTTCAGGGAACCCAAACGGTTCCCCCCGAAATCCCCGCCCACAAAATTGGAATGAGGGGAAAGGGGAGTTCGACCCCTGCAATTCCATGTCCAAATTCCCTGGGAAGACAAACAACAAAAGGAGTTGGGTGTGTCTTAGAATAGATAAACCCCGCAAATGGCGTTTGGTTTCCTTTCGGTTTCCATTCAAACCAAGCCCCGAAAAAAAAAAAAAAAAAAAAAAAAAAAAAAAAAAAAAAAAAAAAAAAAAAAACTCAAAAACAAACACCCAATCTACCATGTCCTTACAGAACTCCTCGCTCCTTAGCTCCCTCTTTATCCCCACCTGCTTGCGCGAACTTCTTGCCCGCAGCCAACGCTTAGCTTCTTTAAGATCAGACTTGGCTCGAAGCCCCCCGTTGGCTCGAAGCGAACTCAAACAAGACACGTTTACAGTACCAACTCAAACAAGACGCACCCAATCTACAATCAATCTACGTCCTTAATTCCGGAACTCCTGGTAGCTCAGCTCTCTCTTTAACAGCAAACCTGGACCGCCCCCCGCTCCGCAACGGCATCCGCTCGCGAAGCGAGCTCTCGCCTGAGGCTTAGAGACCTGCTTGATGACCTCCCGCACCTCCACCGTCGGCACCTCCACGATCTTCTCCTCCCCCCGGAAATGGACGACAGGTCGATTCGCTTAGGCCGTCTGACAAGATCCCCTGCTGAGAGTTTAACTTTTAGTGAGTCCATGGTAACCCAACCACTACTAGTTGTCCTCCAGATTTGAGAGGTTCCAATTAGGTACCCGTTTTTTTTTCTCTGTAGTCTATTTTAGTAGGAACACCCTCCCAACCCAAAAAGGGTGAGAAAGGAAACCTAGCTAGCGGACCTAGTAGATGGCCTGGCAATTGATCTGTCTTTCTCTTGTGCTTTGGAGTTGGGGCGGCCCCTTTTTTGGGTGGTTTTCTTGGAGCTGGGTCCGTCTCTTGGAGTTGGCACCGTGTTTTTTCGATGTGGCTTAGGGAAGCCAAACCGGAAATCGCCACTTGAGGGAGGTCCAAACTTGAAACTTTAAAAGAACGACGGGCCACCCATCTACCAGGCCTCCTAACTGAGTTTTTGAGTTGTCCTATTCAGCGATCCAAAGGCACCCGGAATTTTGGAAGTTACCAACCCAGCTCCCGATGTCCGCCGCGGAAAACGGCGGATGTTTCCACGCTACGGTGCCCTGCTGGGTCCATGTTGCGATGTAGGGGCTGTCCATCTTCCTCCCTCAAAATTCCAACTTAAACATGGGTTCTGGCCACATGATGGTTGGTGGATTCTCTCTTTCACAGGTACAAGTCACAACCCGGAAATACCCAAAACCCAGACAAAAACACCACATCTCGGGTCCCAAAAACACATTCATGTTGGGTAAAATGCAGGTTCATCGCTTGGGGTACAGTGACACAAAACCCACTGAGGGACCCTTCACGGGAACGCCGGGATACATCGCTCGCCGCGGGCGAGCACTCCTCGTAGATGATCTGCGGCACTTCCACCTCGGCGCACGCTGTACAGCGGGCGCTTCAGGGTTCCATTTTTGGGTCGGCTCGGTGGACGTAAAAATCTACCTAGAGTCTCCATGACCCTTTAAAAATGGGTCAATGACCCCATTATTTTGGGTAGTGACCCCATGTTTTCAGGGTCATGGAGACTCAAGGTACCCCCTACTCAAACTACCCGCTCCTTTTTTTCAGGGTAGGTTTGTTGGAAAACCGAACGTTTTTTTGTCCATGGTAAATACCTCCTTTTTTTAGTGGAGGGTCGACACGATACCCTGAAAAAAGATGGTAATTATTTGGGGTAGGAGTAGGGGCGGTGTTTATTTCCCAAAAAGGGAACTCATGGGAGTCGAAAAGTGGAACCCGGTTGATTTCCCCAAACAGGGACTCATGGAAGTCAACATTATTTTTTAATCTACCCCCTACTCAAACTACCCGCTCCTTTTTTTCAGGGTAGTTTTGTTGGAAAACCGATCGGTTTTCCGTGGTAAGTACCTCCTTTTTTTAGTAGAGGGTCGACATGATACCCTGAAAAATGAAGGTAGATATTTGGAGTAGGGGGTAGGGGCGTTTTTTTTTCTCCAAACTCATGGGAGTCCAAAAATGGAACCCGTTTAAGCCAACAAAGCGATCGCGCACGCCAAAAGGCGCAGCTTTTTTGGGAGAAGTGTGCGGCTCATTGCCTAAAGACTCCGATGGTCAGCCTATGAGTGTGCCGCTTCTCGAGGATACCACTTCAGTGGATAAAACCGCACACCAACAGGAACCTCCCCTTTTTTGGGGGGGGAGTCCCAAACTGAGTCGCAATCAAAACCTGGTACTCAAATGGTCTACCCAGAACCATGCTTCAAGGATTAAGAAGGCGGAATTCCCGCAGCTATTTCTGGCCAGGGGATCGTCCCTCACCCTTCATCTACCCGGGTTTCGGTTTTGAGGACGTGGCTCAACCGGTTTTTTTCTGGCGCAACCCGAAAACCGGGAGCCCTCTGGCGGGGTAAGTCGGAGGCCACCTTCTCCACGTACTGAACCTCCAGCTTCTCCACCTGCCAGGCGGTCAGACGCGGCCACCTCCTTACCCCCCCCACCCCACTACGGGGGGGGGGGGTGGCGTGAGGGGGGGGGTGAGGGGGGGGGTGAGACGGGGGGTGAGAGGGGGGGTGAGGGGGGGGCTGGTTATTTGTTGGAATCACTCAGGGGTCAGGGGGTCATCTAGGCGTCTCAACTTTTTCGACATCTTATCACAACCTTCTGGTTGGCCATGGCCTCCCAAAAACAAACACCCGCTGCAGGCGTGTCTGTCGCTTCTCTTTGGACACCATAACATCGGCCATGTTTGACTTGCACAGTGTTTGGGTTGGTTCTCTCTGCATTGTTTGGCTTGCCTCCCTGTCTCTGTGTTCAAACATTCCCCCTTCCTCCCCTCCAAGAACCCTTTCAAATAATCCCTCCTCCTCCTCTCCAAAGAAGCCTTACTAGCAATATGGTCCATTGCTCAGATCAAGTGCAAATTGCTCTCTCACGCAGGGCATCGCCTTGAATCAAGCAAAGCCCCTGGGTTTAAGTCTACCTTCAGAAAAAAAATGGAACCCTGGCCCAGGCCACTTTCAAGTGCCCATGTGGCGCATGTGGCTAATGGCTGGCTGCCATAGAAGCGTATTCACTGAAACTTGCAAACCGTGGAATCCTGAAGGAGCGTCGCTCCAAGGCAAGGCTCCAAGTCCCGCCTGGCGATCCACGGTCTGCACCTCCGGCCGAGGGACCTGCGCTGATCATCGCAGGGATCAGCTGATCAAAGCCAGGGATGGCGCCAGATGGGAACCACCAAGTTTGGTGGTGCTTGGGGCCCTGTTGCAAGGGTATCAATCTTTCTAAGGTTTACAAGGGAAAGCAAAAGGACAACCCACCCATTTTAGGAGGTCCTTTTTTGACACATGGCTGTGGCGCAAAGATGGAATCGCAAAATGGTATCCAAAGTTAATGGAAACAAAGACGAAAACTGGCGGTTTGCCCTAGGTCTGCATATTTGAGCCACGCCCAGATTGATATACTCCCCATGAAAAGCCTACTCCCCACTAAAGATCATTTTAGGACCGGGCAGCAGGTACTGGAAAATTGCTCTAACAGGGATTCATGTGGGTTCCATGTGTGTTCCATGTGGGCCGGAAAGTAGCTGCTCCTTTTGCTTTCTCAAATAATCGGTCGTGGCCTTTCTCAAAAGGCGAGTGAGTGCTAAAAATGGTTCTTAAAAAAAATGCACCTACCCCAAAATGGTAGCATTGGCTTTGACCCACAGCCACATCCAAAAAGGAGTTCCCTATGGTTGGAGGCTCCTTCTGATCCCCAGAACATGTTTGTCAATGCTCCCTCATGTTTCAAGGGTCTTGTCTTGCAATCAGGTTGATGTCACGGATGGTCGTGGAACACCATAAGACTGACAAGAGATAATTTCGTTCTATTCAAACACACATGCACGGTAACCACGCAACATGTAATTTGAGCCAAAACCTTCCCAATCCCTCCCAGCATCCCATAAGACCGGTACCAGCAATACACACATCAGCATTCCAACACGCGACATGGCAACACGCCAAGAAACCAGCATGCCAATATGCACACCAGCCACAAATAGCCTTGTTTCTCGTCCTTGCGCCGTTTCAGCGCCCCGACACGCCAACACACCAAGAAGAATATAAAACAAGTGCCTACCAGGCCCTGTGTCCAATGCCAAGACCTGTGGGGTGTCCTTTCGGCGTCCAAAAAACCCACGAAACCGGTGCCCTCAATTAAAAAACACACACCCACACACCATCTCCAAGCTAAAGCGCCTGCTTCACGATCTCCTGGATCTCGACCTTGGGCACCTGGCACGCCCATCTCGGTTCAGCCACGGGTTTTGACCAACCTACACACCGAAGGTGGCTTTGCTGGTCTGGTGACATCCCGACAAAGCGGCTCCTCCTTGCTTTGACACACACGCACACACGCGCGGTCATGTCCAGAGGCGAGCTGCACAGACACGTTGCTCAAGACGCGGCCCGATGCGGTCCGAGGACGTTGAGAGCCAAGGGAATGAAAATTAGTGCCCGAGCAGTTGAGAAGCGGACGGCTTTCGGAGGAAACTTGAAACCCAAAGTATTTGTCAGCCATTTTGAGGTCTAACTTGGATTTCAAGGATGTGAAGTCCTTTTCGTGCAACTGGATTCCGTGGCCGCCTTCCATCCCCATCCTTTTAGGGGTATCCAATTCTCCCTTTGCACCCAAAGAACCACCTTCCCTTCAGACACATCGTCCAAGGCTTCTCGCAACCGGCGGCACCTCCACGATGCACTCCTGCAGCGTTGTCGTGGGCACCTGCGCGTGCGCCGGCACGCCGCAGGAGTTCCCCAACGAGGGACAGGTCTCTCTTTCTCAGGTTGAAAGGACCAGTGGACCTCAAAGAACCGACACATCATTCCTAGATCGCCAAGTTGCGTTCGCTTTTTTTCAGTCACTGTTGCTGGTTTTTGGGGTAAAGTGCATGGAAAAAAGCAGCAACCGGCGATCCAGGTTGGGAGGTTTTTTTGCGGGGAAACGGGACCCCAAAGAAGCGCCACATGGGAGGAATCTATTGGGCAAAGGGACCTCCAGGTTGGACATCCTTTTCCGCAAGTGCCACGCCTTTCGGCGTTCAGAACCGAAGCGGACCATGCGAGGCAGCGAAAGGTCGTTGTTGGCGGGACCGTTTGCGTTCGATGGAAACCAAAATGGGAGAGATGCCACGCCGCAAGTCTCGGAGAGTTCCCAAGTTAGAGTCCTGGGGCACCTGCGCTTGACTCACACAACATTGCGGAGGGAACCAGCGAAAACCTGAAAAAATGGCCGTGGTTTGCCGCTGGTTTTAAGTGACACGTGCAAGGGAAGCAACCAAATGCGCTTCCAGCAAGAAGCAGCTCCCAGCCCAAAGGCGATTTCGGCCTCGACGATGCGCTCCACGTACTCGTTCACGGGCTTATCCACAGGCTTCGGCACGACCCGAACCTGGCTCGGGAATTCCAAGCCAGAGAGGAAAATCGTCGGGAGCAGAGAGAGAATGTATTCCCTCCTTTTCTAATACGTGAATTCTCAAGAAGAGTTGAGTCTGAAGTAGGCCCATGCAGGAGGTGGCTTGACCAGGAAAATCTAGGGTGGCTTAGCCGTACGTTTCAATTCGTTCGACGGCCAGGTGAGGTCAAACAATTCTGCTGGAGGTGGAACTGTCCACAAGGAGGTTCTACATTCTTAGACCTTTGCATGGGATGCCATCAATGGCCTTGAACAAGTCGCTTGCTACATCTCTGCCTCGAAAGACAGCGGTGTCTAACTGTATTCTTGAAATACCTGTTCTTTCTTCAACGGTCCCTCCGAGAATAAGCCGCTCCAAGCAAAGCTATCACGAGTGTCTGGTTGGACCGCACGAATACGCGAGGCCCGGCCCTCCCAGATGTACACCGACATGGAGCTGAGGAAATGGCCGAAAATGCGTGGCAAACATAGCGCTTGAATTGCAAAGCGGGCTTTTCTGCTGTTGGTTTTCCAGCAGAAAACGACATCGCAAATTTACATTAAGACCCCCCGTTATGGCCACCTGCCCATCCATGTGCTCAGATTTCCCAGTCTTTGGTCCTGGCCAAATGGTTCAAGCTTCAAAGTCACTCTGTACATGTGAAACAGCCACCAAACTTGGCTTCTGCATTGTGTGAAATACCAATCACAAATACTCCGACATCCCTTCCATCATGGGGGAATCTGAAACCATTGCTTGGCGATTTGTGGGCGAGCGGATTGTTGGCTTTGAGTATCTGGCGGTTTGCTCAGATGCCCTTCTGCAAAACTAGATGGCACTGGCAAGTGACTTGGATCATAATTCTCTACCACTGCCATCTATGTTCAACTAAACCGGCCCTAGCAGTGCCATCTATGTTGAACCAAGATGGGCCCCCAAAAAGGTGTCTATCTTGCTGGTGCTCAGTAGGGAATGTGGGAATGAACCGGAAGGGGATTCCGCTACAGGAAACCACCGGTGGGATGGTTTATTTTTTGGGTTGTCTATATTTCACAAACCGAAACTCGGAGATCCTCTGATTTCAGGCACCTTTTTGGAGGCGTCCGCTCGTCTTACCGCCGCATCATCCCCCTACCCCCAAACCCCCCAACCCCCCCGACGCCCAAGCCGCCGCCGCCGCCTCTGGGCGAGGCACCTCCTTCACCAACTCCTGGCATCGGCGGGGAAGTTGCAGCCCGCTTGTGGAAAGAGAGAAAGAGAGAGAGAGAGAGAGAGAGAGAGAGAGAGAGAGAGACAAGTTGTTCAGGGTCTCATGTATGTTTCATGTTTTTGGGTCTCATTTCTGCCTCATACTTTTGTGGGTCTCCTTTTTTGGGTCTCATTTCTTTTGGGGGGCTGGCGTTCTCGTTAGCTCTCATGCTTTTGGGGGTGACCCCCCCCAATCCCCACGGGCGCCACTTCCCGCTTCCCGCGAGCGAGCCTGGATCTGCACCTGGGGCACCTCCACCATCTGCTCCGCCACCATGGTGATCGGCACCTCCGGTGTTCCGAACTTTCCGAAGAAGTTCGTCGGAAGCCCAAGGGGCGATCACGGGAGGGGGGGGTGGGGGCTGGAGGGGGGGCGGGGGGTTTGGGATAGGTGCGGGTGGGAGGTCGTGGGAGGTCGTGGGATGGATTTCGGAAGCCTTGAAAGGGGCGATCGGTGGTGGAAGGGGGGGGGGGGGCTGCCTGGGTAGACCATTTTTGTACCGGGCGTTGACTATGACTCGCCATTTGTGTTATTACCATTCTTGTTTTGGTTGCCTTTGGTCGCCTTTTGGTTGGAAGTTCTCTGCAGTTGGAAATTGGATCTTTATGGACAGATGCTTGGCAGTTCTCACTGTTTGGTTTGACTTTGGCAGACTTGGCAGACTTGGCAGATGTCAATTGGAGTCTCTTCTCAGTTGGAAATGCACCCACGACTTCGGACCTTTAAGAACTAGGCGGAAGCAAACAATGGCATTGGCGTCTCGAGTGGAACCAGGTGAAAGTTACAGATGGATTTGGCAACGCACGGATTTCACTTCCCTCATCAAACCAGAGGAACTCATCAACCGACGCACCTACACTGACCGACAAATATTCGGTTCTTCTGTTCCACAAGTGGCAGTTTCAATACAGTCCAAGTCCTCCAGTAGAGAGGTTAGCATAAGGGTACCCGTTTTTTGTGTTCTGTTTTAGCAGGGGAACCCTCGCCCAAAAAGGTTGGTAAAAGTTGGCACCTAGCTGGGGGACCTGAACCCCTGAAAGACCCTCCCGGCCTCCACCACGCGCTCGCGGGCCTGGTAGTGAGGCACCCCTACCTGCGCGCTTGCCGCTTCGCACCGCGAGCGTCTCCGCTAGGAAAAACGACTTCTTTTTTTCCCCCTTCCCCTTTTTCTTGGGGGCAACCATTACTTCTTTTTCCCCCTTCCCGTTTTTGGGGGAGAAAATTCGACTTGGGCTGCAAAAAATACTTCTTTTTTCCCCCTCCCGTTTTTTTTGTTGGGGAAAAATCGAAATGGGCCACTGAGCAGTGTAGCACTTACAAGGGCTACACTCCAAGTACATTGTTCATTCCGCATTCTCTTCACCCGTCGGTCTCTTTAGAAAGCGCCCATTGCGGCCGACTTTTTGAAGAGAAGGATCCTGAAGGAGACTGGGCATGGAAGGTTCTAATCAGGGGGTTCACGGAAGAGGTACTTGTCACAACCCTGAAACACAACTATGCTATTTTTTCTGGTCCAGCCGCGTTACCCATTTTTTGCCTAGGAACACACCTCGACCCTTTCTACTGGCTGTGGCACTTTTTGATCCAAAGCAAGCGCTGCTTGGCCAGCCACAACCATTTGCCAGCCGGCACCTTTCGCACACACAGCAGGCAAGATGTGTTTCCCACACCGCCCAGATTCCTTGAGAAAGTCGATGCCATTGGAAGAAGACCAGCTTAAGCAAAGAGTGGAGCATTGAATGTCGTAAAGGAACCAAGCAGCCAAGTCCAGCTTCGCCAACTGCTAGGCGGCACCAAAAGTTGCCCAAAAGGCCAAGGTCAGTGGTTCTCAGTGGAGAGTGAACCCAGGGGTCCCCTTAAAGGAAACCACCACTTGGATGGCTTTTCTTGACATCATTCCATTTCTCCTCTGCGTCTCTCGCGCCGAGCCAGCAGAGACTAGCAACGCCTTTCAAGCTGAACTCACCGTCTCCCCGCCCATCCCTTTTGACGGACCTTTGGTGGATGCCTTTTGTCACCACTTCAGAGTCTGTGCCGGTCCAAGCTTTTCATCCCCTTCCCTCGGCGATATGGCCTATGGTCCTGGCTCCCTGAACCGGTTCCGTGGTCAAGACTCTTTTGGCCTACGCTCATGCTCCCTGAATTGCAAATCATGAAAATGGCGATTCAGGATCCTTGCCAGGTGGATGGTCATCCCTCTTCACCCCAAGTCAAGTGCAAGTCACCCTACCCCAATCCGCCTGCTTCTGGACCTCCCGCACCTGCGCGAGATGGCGCTCGAGTGGCTCGGCGTTTGGGGCTCTTGGTCCGTAAAATGCCGCAGATATGCCCCAAGAGTCTTGCCAAAATCGACTTTGGTCGAGTGGTCGCTGGCTTGGGTTGGTCGTTTCAGTTGGGAATCTCCGGGAACCAACAAAAAAGCAAACATCTCTACCCAAGGGAAAAGGTGTGCGTGTGTACATATACATGTGTACATGCATAATCCTGGAATAGGTGTGTGTCTGTGTGTGCATGGTAATCTATAGTATCTATGTAGAAATGCATTACCTCTCCCATTCTCCTTGGGGTAGTGGCTTGGAGGCAGTGGAAACCAGCACGGCAACTCATGAAAGGCACATCGATGGATGTGCTTCTCCCGAAAAAAACATGGGCTCCCGAGTCGTGCCACACGCACAGAAGGCTTGCAAGGGTTGCCGTCAAAAGGCAAACGACCTCCTTGGGTCACTTTCGGTTCAAACATGCCCCCTCTGGCGCTCCAACTTTGGCGCTCTGCATTTTTATTGGGTGGCTGCCAAAAAAAACAAATCCCCCCCTCTAAAGGGGGAAATTCCCTTGTATCACAGAAGTGGTCGGATAAACCCCGAGTGACAACCCGTCAAAAGGCACAGCCTTAGCCCGAGCGAGGCCCACACCGCACGGCCTGGGTCTTTGGGACCTGCTTCACCAGGGGCACATACTCCAGCTTTGGCACCTGGCGTGGTATCTTTTAGCACCACGCATGGCAATTTGACATGAGCCAACCTTCTCATGCGCGGATACCCTGCTAAATTGTTTTAACTTTTAGTGGGTTAAATGGAAACTCCCCCCTAAAACCAAAAAAACTGGGGTCGCGTTCGCACCCTGCCAGCGAGCCATGCCCTTCGGAAAGATTCCAGAAATACTCCCTGCCCCCCCCCCCTCGCGAGAACCGCCCTTTTTCTGCCTCTGCAAACCAATGCCCCCGTCCCTTTTGAGGGTCCCCTTCAACCCAAAGAAAAAGACGAAGTTGGAATTCCCCCAAGGAACCAAGACCCCCTTGTTTTGGGGGGGTCCCCCCCAACCCAAAGAAGTTGGAATCCCCCACAAACCCAGAAACTCCCCCCCCCCAGCTCCCCAGCTCCCCAGCTCCGTCCCCTCCGCGATTCGCGCGACAGCCGGAGTCGGAGCCGGATCCGCCTCCTGGATCCGCTCGGCCACCAGGGTGTGGGGCACCTCCACGATCTTCTCCGTGACCTCGGCGCGCGGAGCGCGCTTCGCGGGGCGCGCTTCGCGACGAGCCGAAAAACGGGGGCGGGTCGGGGGCTTTTCGGGGGTGGGGGGCTTTTTCGGGGGTGGGGGGTTTTGCTTTTCGGGGGGTAGAAAATGGAAGGTGGGGGTGGAAGGTGGAAGGTGGGGGGTGGAAGGTGGAAGGTGAGTTTTTGCTGGGGCGGGAGGGGGTGTAGAGGCTCGGGGCACCAGGCGCGGAACGGACCAAGTGCAGCGTTTTGGTGTTTTGCCGGATTGAAGCAGTGTGTAGCGCCAAACGGTCTGAAACATGTTGACAAACCACCCCCTCCCAACGAAACACAGAGAGAGAGAGAGAGACACACTCACACACACTGACACACATTCACAGAGAGACGCACCCCTTTTTCAAGCGCAGGCACCGGACTTTCCCAACGTTTCAAGTTGTTTTTGTTATTTGTTTTCCGGTCGAGGCCCTTCTGGGCCAGGCGATGGACTTGCACACCTCAAAAGTCTCGGGCCTCGTAGATTGGTCTCACCACCTCCTTGGTCACTTCCTGGACCTGCCACAAAGCATCAGCGCAACAAAACCGAGCGTCTCAAGTCCCCATCTGTGGGCAGAGAGCGTTTACTTGGCATTCTGCAGGGCTCTCTATTTGTCTAACCTCAGAACACACCAAGAAGCTCATCTGAAAGTGGCCCAAAAGGTGAGTGTGTTTTCCAGCGCAAAGGGGAATCAGAAGGGCGCTGTTCTATGCAGCCAAACTGTGCTTGAAAGCGATTGCCAAAAAAAACGAATCCGCATGCTTTCGCGGACATCGTTTCGGACATTTGCATCCAAGGATTCCGATGCCGGTACGCATCGGCCAAGGGGAAGGGAAAAACGACGGTGGATTTCCACTAAGTATTGCATGTGAGCCAACCATACTCAACTACAAAACCATGGTCTCAGTTGCCTAAAGGACCCAGGAACATAAGATTAACCTTTTGGGGCCATGACCAAAAAACGGGCCCAACAGGGAAAACCAAAAGGTCACAAGGTTGGCTTTGGCAAGTGAGTGGTAGTAAACTAGAGTTAAGCTGATTGCCTTACTTGCACTATTCGTGGCATCCACCGTATCACGTGTCAGCTGCTGCGCAGGCAGCGCACAGTTCGCACATGTTTTTCGACTGAGAACACCGGGCAAGCCGCAAAGTGTCCACTACTCGATGAAGAGAGCATACCTTGCGGCCGCCAACCCTGCATAAGCACGGTACTGTCCTTTCCCATGAAAAAGCACCATGATCCCCAAAAAAGAAGTTCCGCGCAAAAAATAAGAAGAAGCAAAAGACATCACACGACCAAAAGAAAGCTCATGTTCAATTGGCCGAAACGGTCAACAACCAAAAAGGGGAATATGGGGGATGTCTTTGTGTTAGTGGACCCCGCACGGTGGTTTTCCTTTGCACCAACTCCACAAAAAACAAGAACCATCCATACCCTTCCTTCCGTTTGTCTTCTACCTCTGTGTTTTTTTTCGTGAGAGCCGTGGGGAGCACATGTTCTCTAATATTCTCTGTTGACCTTGTCAGCGCTTGGAGGCCAAATCCACGATCCCAGTCCCGGCTTGACGAAACATGTGCGAGGTTCGGACCATGGCCCAAAACGTCCACGTCCGGCCCAGCGGAAAAAAAAAAGACAAGGCCCAAAACCTTCTTTGGTCTACCGCGAGTTGCATGGATGGGCCTTGCGACTGCATTGCCCAATGGCTGAATGACAAAACGGTTCAGCTGGCATTTGGGATCCCTACGGAAGAAACCTGCAAGCTGCAGGTTTTGGTCACGAGCCAAATCCTGTGACTATCAGTTGCCCGGATACGTGGAGCAACCGTCGAGATTGACGAAGCTCGCAGCCGCTCGGCTTGCCTCTCGAACAGGACATCCACAAAGGTTCATAGAAGAAAAACAAACGAACATCCACCCACTGTGGTTGCCAATTTGCCATCCACCCCCCTCCCCCCATGGCTGGCTAAAGCATCCAGCATCCTTGTGGTCACGTTTCGCGGAAATCAAAGATGGGCTTCTCGGCGATGTCCCCGAAGCTGCCAACAAAGTCCAAGCTTGCTGAAACACCGTCCTGGCCCCCGGTTTGTCCTCCAAGTTAGTGGTTCACTGCCACGTGGGCGGTTTCCCGGGGTGGCCGCCGGCCCCGTGGCAAACCTTCGGGCGATGACCAAAGGTGGGATTGCTACCTCGCCTCGAGCCAGCCAAGAAAAGGTGAAAGCAACTCGGAACCTTCACTTTGCGTCAAGGGAGACCAGTTAGAAAAAAGGCGAACTGCAAACAGGGCGACGCTCCCCCCCAAATCCGTCAAGCAGCAGCAACGAGGAATGCGTGCGCCGCCCCACGCCGGCGTAAGACTCAGGCTCCTCCTTGCATTGCAGGAAGCTGCTTGAACGTGCTAGAACTAGGAGGGGGAACCAAACAGGAAAAAAATCGCACCATTGCCCGAAAACAAGAGCACATGGACAACCATTGAGAAAGGGTCATGGAGACTCCAGGTATTTGTTTCTTTGCTGCGGCGGTTCAGTACGCAGCCGGGGTCAGTCTTGGCAAAGCCGACCTGCCCACATCCAAATATCCGAGGTCGCAAGCGCAGTATGTGTTGCTTGCCTCTTGTGACCCATACTGCGTCGATTGAAACGTCATCGGGCCATTGCTTTATTCACATGTCCGGCCTGGGTCTCAAGAGAGCTAGCGCTGCAATGGGATCTGGTTCAAGTGTCGACGGCCGAAATTACCTCGTGCTTGCTTCTTTTACTGTCAGCCAGTAAAGCCGCAAAACACGCCTGCCTCTCATGCGGGCCCGCGCTAGGGTTTTTGGACTTCAGAGTGTTAGGATGTAGGGGTGAAGTTTGTTTTTAGGGTCTGGGGGTTTGGCTTTGCAGGTTTTTTGGATTTATGTCGCAGGTGGCTTACCTCAAACCCAAGCTTCATAAAGGAAAAGCGCATTTGTCTACCCAGTCTCTCGTGGAAAGGCAAAACAGGACAAACCGCAAACTTTCTCTTAGGTTGTCCACATGCTCAAGATGCTCCGCGGTGCCGTTTGCTTAATTGGTGGTTTGGGTTGGCGGTTTCAGGATTTCGAGAAATGATTCTTGAGGGTACATGGGAAGGAAAGTTGAAACAGGGAACAGTTGAACACTTTGTTATTTTTTCGATTTGGACCCCTGACACAGTTTTCCAGATATCCAGGTTTGAAAAGCCTCATGAACAAATTGAGCTCTTTTCCTTTTGCGCTTTGCCATTTGCTTTGTTGAGGGTTTGGGGCTGTTGAACAATCGGAGTTTTAGAAATGCATCACATTTGCGTTGTCGAATGTAAGACAAAAAAAGGAGGAGTCCTCCGAAATAATTCACATGTTCTTAGAAGTACACTTCGGGGTCATCTTGATTCACATGTTGTGTTTGAAAGTTATTGAGCGTATGGCCTTGTTGGGCTGGCTGGCTGGCTTTGCCAATGTCCAAGCCCTGGGCTACCACCCCTCGGTCCTTGATCATCTCAAAGCCCAAGCCCTCGTAGCAAGCCCGCGCCACACCTTTGCACCAGAAACCAGGAGTGCGCGAGTGCCAGTTTGCTTTTTCTGGATTGGCCAGGTATGCTTCAAGTTCTCAGCTTCATGTGTTCACGTGCGTATTCATCTCAACATATGGCCATGGGTCAGAAGCTAAATCATACCCCCAGTGAACATCCGATTCAATCCAACCACGAAAATAGACCGAAATGGGTGGTGCATCTACCCCAAAATGGTACCATTGGTTGTTGACCCACGGCCATATGTAGATGGTGGTCCAGCGTGAACAGCCCCCATGCTTATTGTCACCTGGTGGAAGCTTTGGGTCTTGGGCATTTTGGGGTGGGACTTTGGGGCGGTATGCAGAAATCTGGGCTGGCAGGGACTGACATACAGCTGCGTCGCCCCTGGCCCGGATTCTACGCATTGTTTACTACGAGCAATGTCGTGGGTCATTCCGAAGGAAGTGATACCGAGCCAAGCTGGAGCCGAACTTCCGCCACACAAAGCTCGTTTTTTGTTTTTTGCTTTTCTGCTAAAAGTTTTAAACTTTTAGTGGGTTGAATTCGGAAAACCCATTAGTTGGCACAAAGCTAAAGTCCTAACATCCAAGCAAAATGCAGCAAAGAAAACATTAGCAACTGGAGCCACTGATCGATCTTTGCTGGGATAAAGGGAAGGTGGTTGGCCAGTTTGACGGGCGTTGATCAGAAAAGCAGCGCAAAGCGAGTGAAACAAGATGTAAGGGGGAAGAATGACAAAGAGAGGAAGCAATACTTCAAATACAAATGGAAGAAGGAATGAAGGAAAGAAGGAAGAAAAGAGAATGCCAACATACGAATAAGACAATAAGCACCTAAACTAAGGAAAATAAAACTAGATCAAGAACGGAAGGGCAAAAGGCAAAACTGGGAGAGAAAAAGAAAAGGCAAAACAGAAAACCAGGAAAATTTGTCTTCTCCCACGTCAGGTCATACGAAAATTGAACCTGTTCGAACCCAAAGAGCCCCAAATTTCGCCGCGTCTCGTCCCCAAATTTCTTTCGCCCAGTGGCGGTTGTAGTCTGCGAGGTGTAAGGCCTGAGCCGAGCTGAGCGCGGGACATGGGTACACAGCTGGGTCCAGTGGAGAGCCTAAAAGAAGGCCACCCCCTGCTCCAAATATATTATATAGATTTTTCAGTTGGTATCCTGTCGACCCTCTACTAAAAAAGGAGGTATTTACCATGGAAAACCGATCGGTATTCCCGAAAATACCCTGAACAAATCGGGTATTTTGAGTAGGGGGTGCCCACTTTTGTCTGCAGTCTATTTTAGTAGGGGAACCCTCCCAACTAAAACAGGGGTGAGAAAGGGTACTGCTGGGGGACCTTGACAGTGTCCTTTGGGTACACGGTGTCCTTTGCGCCAAGGATTTTTGGTCTCACCTTGCCAGCTGACCCATGCTTCCTTTAAGGCTAAAGTTGATTCCTGGGCTTCTGTTTCGGGGGAACCCTCAAAGCTCATGATTGTTGTTTTGATTGTTCCGGGGGGGCGCCTCGTACTCACTCGGCCTCCCCTGTTTGCACGTTCCACAACCAAGAAACCTTGGTATCCCCAGCAAGCACTTTAGCCCATCGTCTTGCTGTCATACGCCCCATGGGTCTTGTCCCGTGGTTGCGCGTCGGCCAAAAGGATGCAGGGTGCGGCCCGGGTTCCCCCTAGCAGGCCCCTGGTGGGGTGCGCCCCACACCCGGCCAACGGTGTGCGGAGAGGCTGCTCGGGTTGTCCCGAGGCACCTGACGCCGTCTCCTTGGGTAGGGCACAGACACGAATTTCTGGGTCTGCGAGCCTGCGCACGCTTCCGTAAAAGCAGGATGAAAAGGGAGAGAGGAAAAAGACAGGGAGGGGGAGAGTACGTGAGTCACAAATACTTACCAAACGCCATTTCAAAGGCAAAGGTCGCGCTGGCAAGTGCGTGGGAAGGGTGCACAGTTTTCCATGTGATCCGATTGCCGGGGCAAATGGCCACGGAACCACATGAAACCAATCAATGAGCAGGAGCTCTACTTGGAAACGGGCTCGACTAAAAGCAGCTGAGGCCATGTGCCTGGTGACTGTTATCCAACACAAAGCACCACCTGCATTTCAGGGCACCTGCCACCACAGCCCGCAAAACCTGTGGCTTTTGCGCAGCAAAAAGTCAGGATTCGTTTCACCATCCTTGTCCAACATGGGGCCATCCGCCTGCCATATCCGCATCAGCTCGGCCTCCCCTACTTGCACGTCCCACAACCAAGAAACCTTGGCATCCCCAGCAGGCACTTTAGCCCGTCGTCTTGCTGTACGCCCCATGGGTCCAGTCTCATGGTTTGCGCGTCGGCCAAAAGGATACAGGCTACGGGCAACCTGGTAAGGGTGCGCCCCACGACCAACGGAGTGCAGAGAGGCTCGCGGTGTAGCTCGGGTTGCCCCGAGGCACCTGATGCCGTCTCCTTGGGTAGGGCACAGACCATGCCTTTGTACGATTTTCTGGGAGCGTGCACACGCTTCCCTAAAAGCAGGAGGGGTGGGAAAGAGGGAGGAGGAAAGAAAAGAAAGCGCCGCTGCCTTCTGCGTGGCGTGGCGCATGAGTCACAAACTACTTGTGTTTTTAAGAGGTAAGATGCTGTTTCAAAGGCAAAAGGCCGCGCTTGTGAGCTTCAGAGTATCAACCTGAATGGCCATCACCTGGCGGGTCAGCTCTTTCGCTTCCCGCGACGGGACGTCTCCAGTCCATCTCCACCGCACGATGGCCGTAACCAACATGAAGCCAACGCATTCAAAAGCATCCCTCCTAGAGCCTCGAAATCAGGCCCATCTGAATCCAGCCAGCCCACCCCAAACAGGGAAATCCCTTCACCCTCCACCCTCCATACTCAGCCGGATCTGAGTCGGCAGCCACCACGTGAAGCGCCGTGTCTTTGGGCCCCTTACCTGCCAGAGTTGGGCGTTCGGATGGTCGACAACTCATGGTGTCTCCGCAACTCCAGGATCCTAAATTGAAACTGTAAAACGGGAAGTACTTGGGTAACGGGCGACATTTTAACGTGGGTTGCCTCTAAATGGAGATGCCCAGAGTTGGGCGGTTTTAACGGGACACCTACACGGAATATGATGTCTGCAAGTAAATTGGATTAATCTCGAACCTTTTGCGAAACACTCATTCAGGTTTCGTCCACCTTTCAAAGGGCTTGCAACTAGGTTGCTTAGTCCTTGGAATCAGCTGCTCCGACACAGGTCAACAAGTTGTCACTGAGGCTGCTGGAGTGGTTTGTTGGGCCCAACATCGCAGGGAGATGCCTGCGCACCAACCACTCTTTCAACGTTCCCTGTTGCATTGCTTTGCAAAGTGAGCCATTCCCAAAGTGGGTGCTTTGGTTGTCTATTTGTCATGCTGTGGATGGACGAAATCCAATTCGCACCACCGTTCAGAAACCCTGGAATGGTCGATTCCCTACAACAAACAACAGTTTCAAATACGGTGTCAAAGTGGTGCGCACGGATTTCGCACACATCCACAGTGTGGGGTTAAAGGAGCCATCCCAAATGGGTGATTTCCTTTGGTGTCCCTTTCAACGCCGGTCTCACCAAAACACAACATATGCGTGTCTTAACACAGGGAAGGCAAATATGCGCCCCGTGCGCGTGGAGTAACCTTCGGGTGTCCCTATCAAACAACACCACTGGTGGCCTGAGCCAGCTGAGATTTTTGCAACCAACCCTCATACCCATTTCTTGCGTGTGTTCTTTGAAGCTACCCTTTTGAAGGTGAGGTTTTTGAAGGGTACCCCCCGTCGTCCAGTCTCGCGCTTGGCAGCTTCAGTCCCACTGCGACCCGAATGGGACAAGCCGGTAGCCCACCAAGTGGTGCGAAGGAAGCGCAACAAAAGTTTATTCGCAGAGTCATCCACAGTCGTAAAACCAGAAGCTGGAGTCTCCATGACCCTTAAAAAATGGGGTCACTACCCAAAATAATGGGGTCATTGACCCATTTTTAAAGGGTCATGGAGACTCTAGGAAGCTGAATGATGGTAGAATAGTCCACTGTGCTTTTTTGAGGCTTGGTACCTTCTTTAAATGACATGCTCGGTTGGGCTTTACACAATTATGGACTAATCTGCCCCAATTCCCAATCCAAAACCAACTAAGGGCAACCAGGGGTGTAAAATAGACTTCCCTGGTACGTGGAACAAAGCCAATCTAAACCAGTGCTAATCAATCTCACTGATCGAAAGGACACATACTGTGGGTGGAGGAAATCCTGCACCACGTTGAAACCATGGTTGAAACCGTTGTTTGTTGGTATTTACACAGGGGGATCGAATCATTCCACGGTTTCTGAACGGTGGTGCGCAATGGGTTTCGTCCGTAACAAAGAGCCATGGGGAGAAAGCAAGAAACACACAACAACCAAGGGCAACCTAGAGGTTCAAGCAAACAGCCATGGGGGAAAAAGTCACATAAACACATAAGCTCAAAAAAAGAAGCTCGAAATCAAGAAGAAACACATGACACAAAAGAAGGGTATGCCTTAACATGGGAAACCAAACCCTCTGTTGGCCGCTTGCTTCAGAAAAAAAGAGGGGCCTTGGTGAGGAAAAAACGGGCGCGCGCCCCCCCCCCCCCCGCACGGGAGCCTAGCAGGTTCAGCGGCGCCGGCCCTGCGGACTGCTTCAGCTCGGCGAGGGCCCGGCGCAGCAGCGCGCCGCCCAGGCCCCGGCGCCGCACCTTCGGGAGACGAAAGCCGAGAAGTGTGGGGGGCAGTGGGGGGTGGGGGGGGGAGGTTGGGGGTGGGGGGAGGTTGGGGGTGGGGAAGGTTGGGGGGGGGGGAGGTTGGGGGGGAGGAGGTTGGGGGGTTGGCGGGGGGTGGGGGGTTGGCGGGGGGTGGGGGGGGGGGTTGGGGGGTGGGGGGGGGTGGGGGGAAGGGTGTTTTTTTTTTTCTTTCGGATGGTTGGGGTGGGGTTGCGGGGGTTGGGGGTGGGGGGGGGAGTGTAAGGACAATTCCTTTTTTGGGGTTAGGAGGGTGTGTGGGTGAGTGGGGGGTTGGGGGTTATGAGAGTTGGGGGTGGGGGGGGGGGGAGTGGGAGAGTAGGGGTGAGGGGAGGGGGGTGATGGGGTGGGGAGGGGGGAGTACCCACTTCTTTCCACTCATTGTGTCTTCCGCTGCACGGCACGTTTTTTTCTGCTCACAACACGAACCCTGAGTGCGCGAAGGGGGGGGGGAGGGGGGAAGTGCGGAAGTGGGGAATTGGGTAGTGGGCAAAATGGGAAGTGGGGGGGGGCATGAGACTTCGCGCATGACGTCGGCCTCAGAAAAGTCGGCCTCGACATGACATCGCTTTGGGAGCCTGAGAGATCAGGAGAGGATATCTTGCGGCCTGGCACCCTCAAAAGCCCATGCCCTAAAGAAGGTTGCAAAATAGGCTCTAAGATGCAGGAATGGGGGGGGAGTGGGGGGGTGGCGGGGGGGGAAGTGGGGAGTGGGAAGTCCCCAGAAAATGAGATGAATGTGAAACAATCTTTCGGAGCGTAGCGTTGAAAAACTTGGGTGTACCATGTCAAAATTAGAGAGCTTCTTGGGGTATCGTCTGATGGGGGGGGTAAGCTTTCAAAACTGAACAGTGGACGCCACGTTTTCCTGGGATCACCGACGCTTCGGCGGGCGGGGATGGACATTGATTGCCAGCTGCAACCTCCCAAGGTCTTTGCACAGATCTGGCAGGGACGAGCGTTCCTGGACGAACAGCCCCATCTAGGCCCAGTGGTGTGAGGTTCAGTAATCTGGAGGTCGACATTGACCACAGGCCACCTTTCCAATGGCACCACCTGCTGCCCCAAACATGCGCTTTCTCAACCGCTGGTTCGGGTGCGCTTCTTTAGTGTAAGCTTGCCATAATCCCTTCCCCCGAATATCAAACCCACCCTACCAATAAGTATTGCTCTATGCGTGGACACATGTTCCAGTCTACAAAGGACCACCCCACCTTACAAAAACATGTTCCAGTCTAGAAAGGACAGATCACACACACGCACACATGAGTGCATGGGTGTGAAGTTTGATGGGGAACCCTTTGTTTACCGGCCCCATGATTCTACAACTCTCAAAATCACCCCCTGAGTGCTAGATCGGGAACCACCCCCAGCTAACTTTGATACTCCCAAGCCCAGAACAATCACCCCAGGTAGGAGTTCGCGTCCACCAACCCGCTTTTGGTGGCTCCAGCTCCTAAATGTCACATGCACTTGTGTGAGATTGAGATCTGTCCTTTCTAGCCCGGAACATGTTTTTGCACGGTGGGGTGGTCCTTGGTAGGTGTCCACCGCCACAGAGAGAGACCGCTGCTCCCTGGAAGCCCGCCTCCCCGACGCTGCCCAGGCTGAGCACATAGCCCAGAGAGCGCCGGTCCGGGCCTTTGGATGGGCCGCGCGGTTCGCGGCAAGCAGCGTCTTTCTTAGGTGTTGGACCCCCCGAAATGCGGGGTTTTCCTGATGTCCAGCAAGAAAAGGTCAAAAATAAACAAAAGCCCACATCCTGCTCCAACTATCTCTGCTTGCAACCTGTGCAGTGCTGTCTTTTGGGAAGGGAAGGGCATGAATGATGTGTGCGGCACCGGCAACTTCTAGACGTGCGCGACTCGATTTGTTCGCCCGTCTGCTTTCTCCCGAACTGCTTTGATCTCAGAAACATGCTGTCAACCTTGGTCGCCTTATATCTGCCAGCTTGGCTTGCTCCTTTATTTGCTCCCGGGCCCTGCGAAAAACAAGGCACAAGCCTCGATCTTGCGAGGATGGGCAAATCCGTGGGCCAAACGAAGCGAAATGAATGAAGGTGTCCGACAAGAAATGAATCATTCGTTCTCTCCCAGACCCGATAATTGAACACGCGAACCATGTCGCTCTTATGGCTGACAGCCTGCCTTGGTCGCCTTGCGCAAATGCAGAAGCTTCAGCTCAATTTTCAGCCAGCTTGCTTCGCGAGCTTCCCGATGCCCCCGACTCTCTTCCAGATTTGTCTTCTTCGCCATAGGTGTCCGTTTAGGGGAAATAGATGGCCATGGTAGATGATTAAACCACCAGGCAAACCAGGAATCGCCATCTATTTTTCTAGCAAAACAACCAAAAAGGACACCTATGTTATTCGCTGTTTTGGCGTCACCAAAATCAAAGCCAATTGCTTGTTGCGAGTCAGCGTTTGAGTTCCTTGGCCCCATTATCCTCCGCTCGCTTACCCCATGCTCCTTGTTCCCTCCCTTTTCTTGCCCCTCTTGCGGTTCATATTTGCACTACAGATGCATAATGGTGTATATATATATATGTATATATATATATACATAGTCGAGTACTGGCTCAAACTAAACTAAGAGGGCACATACCCTCTCTTTCGCTGTGGGTTTGGAGGTCTCAGGGCTCAGCTGTCCCAAGGTATGAACTTCGGGATGGTCAGCTCCTTCCTGAGGTTGTCGACTGTGGCCTCGCCCCCAAACTCCTCAGGGGCAGGATGGGCTCAGCAAGAAGGAAGTTGGGTTGCTCAATGACAATCTATACATGCATGTATGTGTATATGTATATACACACATATGTTTGCGTATGCACATCGTCGTATCAAACAAGTACGCACAACTAATATACATATGGGTGGATATGTGTGTTACATGTGCATTGGTCTCGGGTGCCGTGTTGAGGGCCCAATGGTATGGCCCCCGAACCCCTGAGCTCCTGCACACGCACTGCTACGGTCCGCAGCCACTGCACCCAGGAGAAAACAACCTAAATCAACCCCCCAAAACCTGACTCTAAATCAACCCAAGACCCTAAACCGACCCTAAATCGACCCTAAGTCGACGCTAAACCGACCCTAAGTCGACGCTAAACCGAGCCTAAACCGACCCTACCACATGGATGTGTGAGCCACGGCCAATATGTTTATGCCTCAAGCCGACGGGACATTTGGCGGGCGATCCACGTCTTCTTGCAGGAGTTTAGTGGGATGGTAGACATGCGCTTATGTTCATATCTTTACACAACTGGATATGTAGACAAGCAGACAGGCAAGACAAGCAGACAGGCAAGGCACACCGACGGAGACAAAGACAGAAAGATGCAAACAGAGACACAGACACGCACATAGAGACACACGTAGGCAGAGAGCACACAACAGGCTAAACACATGTGTAATATGTACATGCACATAACATGCAAAGGGGCCGGGGCCAAAGGCCAACGATGCAAACCTCCAATTGTTCGGGGCCTTCTGGACTCATTTGCAGATAGCCAGCAAACCATCCGTCTGGCGGCAATTGCCTGAGTTGAAAAAATACTGCTCGCTTATCTGCAAGCCACACAATTCTAAACATGGACACCTCCTTTGGCGGTCGACGAAAAATCCTAAGGAGACCAAAAGGCGTCGCATCTTTCAAGGTCCAACCCATGCCGAGGAAAGAGAAACCTAAATGTCCACCCCAAAACTAGACTGCAAGTGTCCACGACCCCCAAAATAACAACAACAGCAAACAAAACGAACACACACAAGCCAGGTGCCCTCCACTTTTGGGTGGCTGGCCTGGTCCACCAGCCCCTAAAACTTGGCTCACTCCTCGATGGCCGCGCGACTGGCCAGGGCGACGAGGGCGCCCACGGGGGCGGAGGTCTCATCCTGCCGGATCGCTTCCAGGGTAAACTGTCCAAAGCCTTATCTCACTGGCTGAGTGGATGGCGAAAAAAAAGTCCAAACTGTATATTTACCACTAAAATGGTCTTCCCAAAAAGTTTAAAGTTCATGAACTCAGGAAGTAAGCTTTGGGTATGGCTCAAAATTAAAAAGAATGGCATCAGGAAGAATGGCCCCTTTTCTCGGACAAAGTGGGGCGGTGGAATGAAAAGGACATATTTGGCTGTGGCTTAAAATGAAAGAGCAGGGGCAAACCGCTGGTTTTGGTCCATGTTTCCACTTACCAGGCAACCCATTTTCGAATTCCATTTTTTGTTTGTTGGCAGCCTCAAAAAAAACATGCGAGCAGTGGAGTAACAAACCCGTAGAGAGGAATCAACAACTTGCGGCCTCCATGCTTTAACCGGGGCTACAATTTTGGACCAGAACAACCGCCTGCGCCAGATTTGGGGGATTTCCTGAGCTATCCCAACAAACGGGGGGGGGGGAAGCCAAGACAGTTGGATGTCAGGCTACCTGTCCCAAAGTTGGCTCTTTGAATCCTTAGAGAAACAAATCGATTGGGACCAATCGATCCTGATTGCAGATCGGAATCTCCCCATGGCCTAAGTGGCGGTAACACGCCATCGCCCGATTCACCCGCCAAAAAAATTGAGCCGGCATGAAAAAGGTGACCTTGGCACAAATCCATGGCTGCAGCCAATAGAAGTTGTGGTCGTTTGTGTAAGATGCATCCTGGCAGCGCCACCTTTCAAGCCCCGAAACATGTTGAGATCCGCCCAGACCCGCAGTTTCTGGGGCTATACAATAAGGTGAGCATTTGGTGAGACAAGATTAGCATAGAGGAACACATGACCACTTTTGCCAATTTCTGGATCTCTCCAAGGACAACCTGTGAAGTTGTTGTACGAACTCTTTATCGAGTGAAGTCGCCCAGAACTTGGGGACAAACAATTCACGCACCTTGGGCCGGTCGCACACGGAGATCTTCTCGAGACTCAGCCAACCCAAAGGTTGGTATCATGAGGTGGGTCCGAGGTCTCGCGCCAATTCCCTCTTTCGGAGCCCTTATGTTTCTCCCTTCGTGGCGTCCTAACGGGATGGAAAGGGAATGATCTGCGCCAAAGTCCGTCCTCTTTTCTTGCCAACCCGGAAGAGGAGCCTTCGGAAAAGGAGCCGTTCATCGCAGGTGTTGCACTTGTCGAGCTTGCTGTTTGGTGGATGACTCGTGAATTCCGATTGGAAAAAACAATGCCCAACTCATTCACATCAAAATGGTATCAGCTTCTCATTCGGCAATTCAGCATTGCTAGCGCGTATCTGCTGAGGAGCATTCTATGAACGGACGGACTAAGCTCAAGACTGCAATCTCCGCCCCCTTGGAGCCAGAATCAAACGTAATCAATCGATATTTCTAAACACCCAGACCACCTCCCCAAAACAAATCCTTGCAAGTTTCGAGCAGCGCACATCTGGTCCAGCTTCTCTCCTGCGTGGAGTGTTTTTGTTTTTTTTTTCTTTTCTTTTTTTCCGGGTGGCGTTTCTTTTCCCCCTTGCTTCAGCTCCAGCCCTCCGCTTGAACCGGGGTCACTTTTAGGTTTCCCCAAATCAAAAAGTGGGTCACTTCACCGGTACTGTCCACTGACACGACCCCCTTTTTGCAGCTTCCCCTTGAACAAGAACAGGAGGGGGGAAAAAACAATGCCTCTTCCCCGTTTGTTTTAAGGAGAAAAAAAAACAGAAGAAGACAAAAACACGGGGGAAACAAAAAAAACAACCGCCTTTTGGGGGGGAGCCGAAGCCCTCCGCGCTCTTTTCGGTTCCGGTCCTGCGGCAAAGTGGCCTTGAAAGCCAAGACCCCCTCGTGGGCCAACAGCTCTTTGCACCAAGGAGCACCTCCTCGCGCGGCAAAACGCGGCGATCGGATCAAGCTGTTTTTATTCTTATTATTATTATGATTATTAAAAACAATTCACGTCCGCCTGCATCCTACTGGGTATTTTGACCGAACCGATGAGGTCAGCTGCCCTTTGATTCCAAACTACAAGGACGGTTCGATTCGGCTTTTTGATTGTTGTTGTTTTTCACGTCCGAGCGAGCGGATGTTGTTTGCCAAACAAAAAGCAAAATGGTGGTTGCCAAACCCCAATCGAGTCGTTTCTCCTTTTTTTCACGTCCGAGCGAGGGGATGTTGTTTGCCAAACCCAAAACTAAGGGGACGAAAGGTGGCTAAAGTAAAGTAACCAAGAGGTGACTAAAGGTGACGAAAGGTGATATGGTCCAAACCCAAAAGGTGACTAAAGCAACCAACTCAGGCAGTGAAACATGCATTTCTCTCCAGATTTGAGAGGTGAGAATAAGTTGGTACCAACTCTTTTCTGGTTTGTCTACTTTAGTAGGGGAACCCTGCCCCCAAAAAAGGGGAGAGAATAGCACCTAGCTGGGGGATCTAGTTCTGTAAGGGGAAGAAGGGGAAAAGGTGAGACAGAGACAGACCACTCCGAAACCAAGTCCTGTATGGGCGGAGATGAAATCTGCCAGGTACGCGGAGCCTTTTGCTTTTGGGCGCGCGTAGAATTGCAGATGAGCCACAGATGCCCCTGTGCAGGAAAAGGACATTGGACATTTGGTGAGTCCCCGTGCGATTTGTGGGAAAGTTAGGGATCCCCCTGCATCTTACTGGGCATTTTGACCGAACCGATGAGGTCAGCTGCCCTTTGATTCCAAACAAGGACATTTCGACGAAAAATCTGGCAGCCGGAAAGTCCGGAAAGGGTGCCGTGGCCCTCTTTGAATAGGACCATGGGATCCATGACTTTTGCAAAACCCCAAAATGTTCAGCCTGCATGAATTTCGCTGGAGACCCTGACAAATCATTTTGCTTGGTTTTAGTAGAGGGAGGGGCCATACAAGTCCACGCAATCAAGGTTGGATGTGCTGCCAGTTGCATTGAACTGGTCAGAGCTAGCTTGGGTTTGTTTAGCCTGCACGAATTTTGCTGGAGACCCTGACATTATTATGCCCCTGCAACCATAGGATCCAGGACCCCCTTCTCCAAAAAAACAACAACTAAGTTTCCCCCGACCGCTATGAATTTTGCTGCAGTACTTACCTTGGGTTTGATGTCCAATTTGGTCTGAAGACCGCCAGGCCCGATTCAAACGGCGCCCGTATCCCGTATCGCGGTCCTCGACAGGACTCCTTGGGGAACCACTCCTCCTGCGCTGCAGGAGAAGCGACGGACGCTCGAAAGAGACGCAAAGTGGCGGCTGTTCAACCGCATGGTTTTAGTCAAAAATAACGTCCGTCTCAAATAGGGGAACCCTTTTTGTTGGCAGGTTTTGAAAGGCAACCAAAAAGGAAACCAACCACTTGGTATGCGGTGGCTTTTTGAGGGTAGTTTGTTCGGTGGTTTTAAAGGACAACTCAGAGAACAACCAAGATAATTTTTGAAATGCATATGGGTCTGTCTCAAAATAGTGGAACCCTTCGTTTTGGACGGTTTTAAAGGTAACCAAAGCAAACCAAGTTTGAGAAAAACACATTGAGAAGCTGGCCAAAAGTTGGACACGCATGATTCCCTTCGAAGTTTGGCGTACCAATAGCTATGTGGCTGTCTTTTCATGTTCAAAATGTGTGGCTTGTCTTTTCTTGAGGGTACCCCCCTTTTGATGGCTTTTAAAGGGAGATCGAAACGAAAACCAAAATTCATGTTGGGGTCAGCTAACAAAAGAAACACCCAAATGAAGGGTTGGCCAATTGCGATCAGGGTACCACTTTTTGACTACCCAAGATAGACTTAAACCCAGAGCAAAGGTTCTCCTTTTGGGAGGAATGAACCACCCCTGGGTTTCAGTCTACCCTGCAGGCAAATGTGCAATGCTGATTGCAACCCTTAATGCTCTTAAAGAGCTACAAACTCGACCCCTTAGATCATTTGTAGGGAAGGATTAAACAATTTTGAGAACATGACAATTCAATTGGGTGTGGAGATTTCGGTTGGGAAATCCCCCCACCCACCCACCCACCCGCCCGCCCGCCCGCCCGCCCGCCCGCCCGCCCTCCCGCCCGCCCGCCCGCCCACCCCCCCGCGGACTGCCCTTGAACAGCCACTTTGCCGTCAGCAGCCCCGATTCTGGGACGAAGGGAAGCAGTTCAGCACCAAAGTTGCAGGCCTTACGGGGCAAGAGGGTCCATGAGCCAAGCACCGGCTGCTCGAGGCGGCCAAATTTGTTTGTTTGAGTCTCAAAATAAGATAGGAGCTTGTGGCGGACATCATGCACATGAGGATTCATGTACTCTAACCTACGAGGGGTGTCTTGGATACTTACAGGAAACCAGGCCGACGCCAACAGCTTTTGCTTCTACATACTTCTTGTCCTGTTCGCCACCAGCGAAGAGTTCCAGAACGTCAAGCTTCGCCCAAGTCAACCCCCCCCCAAACAAAAAAAACAGACGGGGTGCACCCTGGGAAGTCAAAAAAAATAGGTCCTCGCCCAAGTCCCCCCCCAAAAAAGGCCCGGCCCCAGGTCCCGCGCCCCAAAAAATTGGGTTGGGGGGCTGCATCGCTCGCTTTGGCGTCGGCTTTGGCGTCGCGGATCGCGGCGGCCTGAAGGTCTGCCAGATCTTGGGCATCCTCCTCCGTCATCACTGAGATCCGAAAGTCCTCAGAGCTTTGGCGTCGTGTGAGATGCGGCCTTTGGAGGACGCAGTCCGGGGATGTCTAAAGCTGGGTCCTCCAGATTTGAGAGGTTAGAAGAAGGGTACAAACTTTTTTTCTGTAGTCTGTTTTAGTAGGGGAACCCTCCCCCGAAACAGGGCAAATAAGCACTACGGGGGGCCTAGAAAGAGACCTACTCAAAAGCATCACTTGAAACTTGACTCGAAGGTTGATGCCAGTCGATCCACCCCAAGCGACAAGTTCTGGTATGCTTCAGCCTATGTTCATGGCACGTGATTGTGGCAACTTGAAAAAAAAGACACGCTTCGGCCTTCGAACCCGTGCAAACCACAGTGGGCATTTCTCTCTTAAGCACTCGTGGTCGTTACCTCGGCCGAGGCATGGTGTGGCTTTGCCTGCACAATTTGTTTGGCCTTGCGAGAATCTTGGAATCCGAAAGTGGGACCTCCGTGCGCAATGCGGAAATGCGGCAATGGCACCAAGGAAAGACATGGTCCAACCTAAGTCTCGTAAGAATTCAATGACTCAGCCGTCTTCTGAGCTGCATGCCCTCAAGGAGTTCCAGGAATTCTCTGCCAACCATGGCACATGTGCTCCCAACAAACACCGCAGTTCCAGGGAGTGAGTCCGGTCCCAAGCCCGTCCCAAAACGGGTTGAGACTCCCCTGAGTCTGAAAAAGAGAGACGCTATCCAGCAAGCTGTCGACGCGACGCAAAAACGCCACGCGCTTTAATTTGCTTTGATATTTCGAACTTTACCATAGGTGTTGCTCGCGGACTCCGTTTGCTTCATGAAAAGCATTGCATGTGTGTGTGTGTGTGTAAACGTATGCATGCATGCAATATATATATATATATATGTATATATATACACATAAAGACACATCATGTGTATACATATGTATAAACAGACATACGTGTACATGTGTATATATATATATATATATATTGTGCATTGCACAAATGTACATCGGGCAAACTACGTGTTGTGCTTGTCAGCCATCAACAAGATGCAAAAGATGCAACTCTTAGCTCTGCCGGCTGAGAACCCGTCCGAGGCGCTGGAAACGGCTTTCAGCATCTCTGGGTTGCTTTTCAGCCTCAGCATGTCCCGTGCAAGGCGAGTTCGGCCCTGCAAACGGGGTGTGGTCTTATGGGACCGGACGCCGATAGAGACTAAAATCATGCACGGAGCACCCTCCAAAAGAAATGGTGCCCCCCCAAATGGCACGGCCCAGCGAAAGAGCCGCGTTTTCCAGGGCTCCAGTAACAAACATAAGTCATAAGGCCTTGAGTGGTTCACGTCCTTCTCATAGATGCTGCCTATGACTTCATCGCACTATAAGCCGCTTTCTCACGCCCATTCAATGCAGTAGTTCGCGCAAGGCCCTTACAACCAAATAGCGGAGGCATAGCGAGCACCACCAGAATGCTGCCGACAAACGAATGTTGGGCACTGTCGAACCGGGCTTCGCAAAAAACTTGTGAAAAGGGTAGCATCCATGCCTTCAAATGGAAGACATGCATCGGTGGTCACACTTGTGTGATGTGTCACACGAAGTCGCCCGGTGCCATGCAGATTCTCCATAGAAACCATTTGAACGTCAAAGGTTGGACTCACGAAATCAGGTTGTACTGTTGCAAAATCCCTCCAGCGGCAATAGCCTGGCTCTGATTTCATTCGCAAACCAGAAAACCGTTCAAATGCCTTTCCGGTTATGTTCAACCAGAGTGGAGCGGCAAAAGCTAGTCTTTGCCCATAGATGCAGGGTCCCAAGAACAGACCCACAGACCATAGACCCACAGACCCACAGGCCCATAGACAGAAGTCAACCAACTTGTTTGTTCCAATTGCAACCCTAGTCATAACCTATTTAAGTGGGTTGAACATCCAAATGAATCAGAATCAAACCCTGTATTGAATGGGTCTACCCAAATCCATGCAAGGAAATGTCAAAGGCGGCCGCACCTATACTAGGTCCTTCAGTGAGATTAGAATAAGGGTACCCTTTTTGTCTGTCTATTTTAGTAGGGGAACTCTCCCAACCAAAAAAGAAACGGTAAAAGTTGACCTAGTAACAACCACCTTCCCTTCAGACACATCGCTCAAAGCTTCTCGAAACCTACTGGGGGAGGACCACACATCGGGTAAAAGTTGGCACCTAGCTGGGGGACCTGGTATATCTGGACGGGATCATCAGACTAGACCCATAGACTATATCTGGACAGACCCATAGACCCTCAGACCCACAGACTAGACCCACACACAGAAGTCAACCAACTTGTTTGTTCCAATTGCAGGATCATCCCTTCACCTGCACTATCCCGGGTTTTGATTGTCAGCTTGACCCAGAGGACCCACGGACCCAACTTTAGTGGCTTAAAATTTGAAACCCAACCACACTAAAAACATCTAAAACCAACCAACCTCTAAAAACAAGAAAACAACAACTCTAAAAACCAACACTAAAAATGGAAACCCACTTAAAACATCTAAAAAACAACCTTTAGTGGACATTGAATGGACATCCCCACTCAACCAACTAAAAACATCCAACAATCTAAGGATGGGACCCACCTTGGGCCCATAAAGTCCACAAAACCCCAAACCTGACCCATCCGCTCCGAGCTCCAGGCAGCTCGTGGCACCGCGCCCTCAGCGCCGGCGCCGTGGAGCCCGGCGGCAGCGCGGAGCTCAGCGCGGCCTCCGCCTGCGGCCGCAGAAATCGGGAAGCTGATCGCTTTTTGTAAGGCTTCAAAGGTGCTAAAGGGTGTAAAAGGCGGTAAAAGGCTGCAAAAAGGTTTTAGAGGCTGTAAAAAGGCGGTAAAAAGGCTGCAAAAAGGCTGCAAAAAGGCGTTCACGGCTCTATAAAAGGGCGTTTGAGGCTTTATTTCTAGGCGGGGTGAATCCATTAACGCCAGCTGTTTCTGAATACATTAACGTGACATCCTCAAGAATTGGTGGTGTCAAAGGGAAACCACTCAAACATCTAGGGGGTGATTCCTTGTCCATTCTTTTCAGCCATTGCTCTTTTCAAAAACCGATCGCCATTTCCCCAGGGCTTTTGGTGGTTTTCTAGAAAGATCCGGATCCCTGGAAAGAATTGGGGAAGTCACCCCCAGGTTAATGGGTGGAAGCTGCTAGCTTTCATCCATTTGCTTGAGCCCCCTGTAAAAAAATGATAAAATGGTTCCAGTAGTAATAGATTCCCTTTGAAAGCAACAGGGGGAAATAAAACATAATCTTCAGCAAATGGAAGCTTTACTGGGTGGGTGAGGGTGTTGAAGGCTTTTTTTAAGGGGGGCTTTCAGGTTGTTTTTGTGTTTTTGTTTGTGCGTTTGTTTCTTTGTTTTCCTTCTTTTTTTTTTCGGGGGGGGGGTGTGGGGGCACAAAGACAGGTGTCGAGGCACGGGGAGGTATTGGCATCGGTCCCAATTCGACAGGTACCTACCTTTCTTGGGTTGATCAAGGGGTAGAATTCATGAACTGGGAGGGTGACATCTTGTTGATCAAATGGGAGAATCGAGCAACACTCTTCTCCGATTTCCAAGCGAAATCAAGGGAGCAGGGGTCCCCCAAAGCCTTACAAGCTGGTTGGCTTGGAACCTGTTCTCATCCATTCTTTTGGCGGAACCCAGCAGCCTTGAGACAAATCAGCTCTGTTCAAGCTTCCGACTTGCCTTTTGAATCTTTGGATGTTGACAATCGACGGGCACCCTCTCTTGATCAGGCGGCGCAAAAGGACGCTCCTTAGGCTCCCAGGGCAGAAGGCCCCAAATGTTCCTCAAGACCCAGATGTTGATTGGCACATGCCTGCGACATAGAAGTCTGCTTTGCCCAATCTACGCAGTTCCGCCTACTTGGGGGCCCCGTGGTGTTCCCTTGATGTCGAGCTGGACAACTATTGCAATCATCCCCACGAAAGCTGGGGCTGAATCAGAAAGCAGGCGGTGGAGAGTGGAGACGAACTGGATCATGAACACACACGGTCAGAGCCTTTGCTTTTCGATATCCATGCGTTCTGATTACATAGCGTGCGTCGCAGAGACTCCCGCCCTTCCTGCTGCAACTCCGGCTTGGCGCGGCCGCTCTTGGCACCTCCGTCCACAAGATCCATGCGGGCCGAGAACGTCAAATGGATCAAGGCGTCAGGATCTCAGTTCATCTCGTCTGGGTGCTGAACAAGCAGGAGCGCCTCTCTGGAAGAAGAATTGTTCCCTACCCACAAAACGGGCCAACAGGAGTTGCAGGCGATCCCGCTGCAAATGGAGATTCGTCTGCAGGCATCCTCAACCTCCAACTCCCCCCAATCTCATACAAGCAAGCAAGCAAGCAAGCAAGCAAGCAAGCAAGCAAGCAAGCAAGCAAGCAAGCAAGCAAGCAAGCAAGCAAGCAAGCAAGCAAGCAAGCAAGCAAGCAAGCAAGCAAGCAAGCAAGCAAGCAAGCAAGCAAGCAAGCAACCACCCAACCAACCACCCACCCACCCACCAACCAACCAACCACCCACCCACCACCCACCCTCCACCCACCCACCCACCCACCCACCACCCAACCAACCACCCACCCACCAACCAACCAACCACCCACCCACCCACGACCCACCCAACCAACCACCCACCCACCAACCAACCAACCACCCACCCTCCACCCACCCACCCACCCACCCACCACCCAACCAACCACCCACCCACCAACCAACCAACCACCCACCCACCCACGACCCACCCAACCAACCACCCACCCACCAACCAACCAACCACCCACCCACCACCCACCCAACCAACCACCCACCCACCACCCACCCAACCAACCACCCACCCACCAACCAACCAACCACCCACCCACCCACCACCCACCCAACCAACCAACCACCCACCAACCCCTCAGCAAATACCCCTCAGCCCCGGGCGCAGCTTGTTGATGAGCCCCCCCGCGCTTCGGGCCACTCGGTCCCGAGGGGCCCTCGCCATTTCGGCCGGTACGAAGCACCTGGAGGCCGGGACAACCGTACAATCACGGGGGTTGAAGAAATGAATCACGGGGTCAGCCAATCTCCGAAGGGATGTTGGTATTTACTGTGGAACACCAGGCTTTATATTTACGTATGCGTGTAAGGTGTGTATGTACGTACGTGCATATACATGTGTATATATATATATACACATATATACGGCTGTGGGTCAAAAATGGGTACCCTGGTAAATGGAACCCATGACTAAAACAGGCGGCCACTGGTTTAATTTTGACCCACACTAATATGTTTTTTCTGCGCGTATGTGTGCGTTTGTACGTACGTGTATATACATGTGTATATATTTGTATATAGATAAATGGTCACCTCCCCCCCATGAGCATTTATATAGAATACGTTGACGAATGCCCTCCTGCATAAGCACACACACACACACACACACACGCACACACACCTTCGGGCGGGACAAAGTGCCACCAAAGTGGCGGGCAAAGTACGGGAAAAAACGCTGGACAAAAAACTGCCCAGCAAGTTGTCCAGAGGGTTATTCGGAGGGTTGTGCGGAGGGCTGTCCGGTGGGTTGTCCGAGCATTCTGCCGAGATGTATGCTGCAGACCCCCCCCCCCACCCACCGCCGTCATGCGAGAATACTTTCCTCCGAGTGGTTTCCGATTGGTTTCCGAGTGGTTGGCTTCGTCCGTTGTCCCGACAAGGAACGTGTCCAGCGGTTTGTCCGGCTGCTTTTGCGACCTCAAAGTTGTCCGAAGGGTTGGACAGTTGTGCGAGGGCGGGTCCCGGATTTGTTGCTGGCTTTGCAAGAGGTGTTTATTTACGCACCCCCGTCTCTGTCAATATGTACATGCAAACCAGTTAGAGATATCTCCAGCAAAACCGACCTGGAGGCCCCCCTACTTGCCCAGTGGCCCTAAGTGGCCGTGGAAAAAGAGGGGACGCAACCCTCTCTCCCAGACATCCCACAGCAGGTAACCAATTGGTTTTCTTTTACTGCTGGGCTTGCCTTTTGATACTTCCTTTGCCTGCTTCGAGTTTGCAACCGGATTTCGAAGAATCATCTGGGTACCCTCTCGCGGACGTACCAGAGAGGACACCGTGTGCCGGCAAAGAAGTGAGCGCAGGCTGACTCCCTACAGAAAAAAGCAGGAGGCAGAAGCCTCAACACCTGTGAGCCAGCTGATCTGTCAAACTCCGGCCCTGGCAATTTACGTGATTTCCCTGGTAAATGGAATTCAACCAATCTAAACCAGTGGAACCCATCTATTTCTAACAAAACTAATCTAAAACGAACACAAATGGCTGGTGTTGACTGCCTCAAGAGCCCAACTTGTCTTAACAGGTGGATCTTTCTCCACGCGCAATTGGTTCCGGAGCATTGGGGTCTCTGAAGGCTCCTTTGGGTGGGTTCCGGGGATACCGGGGACCCCGAATTAAGCAGAAGCCTTTTGAGGATTTGATTGGAGGGTGTCCCCTTTAGGGAGCACCTCCTCTCAAAATCTGGAATTGGACCCCTCTTTGGCCGGTTTTACAAGGAACCCAACTCAGTTGTTCAGTGACCCTGGAAAACAAAGGGAACCCTTTTTGGGGAAGGCCATTTTTAGTGGGGCAGCCACCCAAAAAAAAGGAAAAAAATACTTGGTGCCACTGAACAACTGAGCCAAAGGAGACCACCTACCTTGGGTCCCACCCAACGAGCTGCGGGGATAAGGGATGGCCAAGCCGGCCTCGCGAGGGCCGCGAGCGCCAGTATGGCCAACAGCGCGCCGGAGCGCCCCATGGCCAGAGGGAGCGTCCGACCCTCGAATCCTAACTTCCGATCGCTCGAGGATTGGCCCACGAACAGCTCCCAGACTTTGTATCTACGAATGGTCATGGAAGCTTCACTGGAACTTGAAACGCCGGGATCTCCGGCTCTCATTGGCTGTGGGGTAAAATGGATGCCACTTTTCACCGCATTCATCTCCATGGCCAAGATTCCATGGCCAATCACACAAGGGACGCTCAATGGGGAGGCCTTCGGCTCGACTTCGCACGGTCCCACCCAAAGTTCCCAAACACTCTTGGAGATCGAGTTGGCTTCTGTGGTTCTGAGCTTCGGCGCCGTTTGGGGTAGCTTGAAACCCACGGAAACCAGCCATTCTGTAGGGTTCCCCTGTGAGACAGACCAAGATTGGTAAATGATTGGAACCAAGCTGAAACCCGTGCCATCTATGTTCAAACTTGTGAAAGCATTGGTTTGCTCCCGCCATAAAAGGCTGCGGGTCGCAGGCAGCTGCACCTCCAACCACTCTCCCATGTCAAAGCTCTGGCAGCCGCAAAAGAGCTCAAGCCTCAACAAATCTTATCCCATCGTCAGGGCTTCATTTGTTCAACTGGTGAAAGCCGCGTATACAAAAACAAAACACGGAAGACAAAAAATCGCCATCCAACTCTCCCGGTTTCATTTCTCCCCCCCGCCACAACCCCATAGAAGAAAGAAAAAACAAAAAACAACAAGTTCGCTCCACCCGACTCGGCGGCTTCATCCGGCCACCTGACAACGCCGCATATACGAAAAGGAAAATAAAAGATCGCGCCGCCAGAACTCGGTGAGTCGGATCGGGAAGAATCGGATGGCCTCCACTCTGGGCACCTGCTTCAGGAGGATGGTCTCCTGGACTTTGGGCACCTGCGAGCTTCGCGCTGAGCCGCGCATCGGTTTTGCGGCCTTCCATGTGAGTGTCGTTTTGTTGAGGCTAGCCTTTGTTGAGTGGTTTCGAAGGGACGCCAAAAGGACACCAACCATTTGAAGGGGTCGGCGCCTATTTGCGCAAGTCAGCCAAACAACCCCTGTGCCACAAGCTGGGTGTGTCTCGTTAGGCTAGTTCTTTCTGGGTTTGCTTCCAAGGCAATGCTAAAAGGCGACCACCCATATCCTTCTTACGCCTGGTAAAGGGAAACCAAACGAAAAACCACCCGTCATACAAACACTCCATCTCCACCTGCTTTCTGTGTGTGTGTGTGTGTCACATGCCAACGGACAAGAGTAGCCCAAGGATGCCAGCGCGACGTTCCTGCCCAAACATCGCTCCTTGGTTTCAGCCCCGGTCAGTGAGCACTGATGATGGCTTCCTCAAGTCCCCGGTCAAAACACCAGAAAACCGCAGATTTTGGCCCATGTTTCCATGTACCAGGGCAACCCATTTTCTCAGTTGTTCAATGACCCTGCAACAAAAAGGGAACCCTTTTCGGGGAAGACCATTTTTAAAGGGGCAGCAGCTACCCAGAAAAAGGAGAAAAAGAATTGGTGCCACTGAACAACTGAGTTTGGGGTTCCCTATTTTTGACCACCACAGCCACGTGGGATCGAAAAACCTGAGTGATCCAAGCCTGGCTCGCGCGTGGAGTCCGTTTCGTGGGAAACTTGAGTCTCAAAACCCACGAAAGCCCAGGGGAACCCCTCTTTTGTCGGCTTTAAAGGGAAGCCATAAGGAAACAAGGTGTCGTTTTTTTTTCTGTTTTGCCTCTCTTTTTTTTGGGGGGGGGTCCAACCATAAAAAAGACGAGCCCAAATGATAAACTCATTTGAGTCACAATCAAAACCCGGTATTAACATGGTCGACCCAGAACCCTTCTAGAATTAAGAAGGCGGATTCCCGCAACTTTTTCGGGCTGCGACTGCCTCTTGCTAACCTTCATCTACGCGGGTTTTGATTGTGGCTCATTTGGGCTTCTCAGTGTTGTGATACCGAAGTGGGATTCCCTTCCCCACAACTTGATCACTTTGGGGACGTACAGAACATGGCAATCTGAAACTGAACGCATCCAACTTCCACTATGTGTGTCTGTCTTTTGTAAGGGGGATCCACGGCCCCCAATATGGTATTATTCTTTGAGGGCGGGTCGGCATGGGGGCTGAGTTTTTCAGATTCCTGGGGGCTGAGTTTTTCAGATTCTTGGGGGCTGAGTTTTTCCATTAAAAACACTAAAAAAATATTGGGGTGCGTTTTTTGTTTTTTTTTGGCTGATGACATGCAAGCACAGATTCATGTTCGATCCAATGAAGACTCAGATGCATCCAGACCTGGAAAATGAGCTAGCTTCAATCTGCACAGAAGACAGCCTGTTGAGAACTATTTTGCACACATATCATTGTTGGACACAAATATTTAGCAAACGTGTGTCTGTAGCTTATTTTTGGATAATTGGCATGCTTACGCATGCCAAATTTATAAACCTCAGGGTGCTAACTTTTGGAAGACGTATGTTTGGCACAAATCTTCAACACAAGTTGCATACGTATGCAATATTTTGGAAGACGTATGCTTAGCAATCTGCAAGCAGATGTATGTTTGGGACAAATATTATTGTTGTGTTGCAATTCTGAAACACGTAAGTATGGCAAGCACAGCTTGCCACGCATATGAAATCATAAGAAAGGTAAGATATCGCTGATCTATGCAGCTTTCAGCTGCAAGACTCAGCTCTTTTTACAGTTGGATGTTCAATATTTTTCAATATACGCATGGGCTCTGCCCATGCTCTTGAGAAAAGACAGCTAACACAGACGCTTGAGCTCAAGAAGCACAAAATGCAAAGATGAGCACCTGCAACGACATCTGCAGATGCAAATAACATTCTCTGCATAAAGCTGTTCAGCTTTGGAATAAGAGCTTTGGAATAAGATTCTCTGCAGCTATTCGTGTTGCTGAAGAGCTCTTGCAACAGTAAAGCTGTTCAGAATAGATTCAAGTAGACACAAGCCACAAGCAATTGCTTGTGATGAGATGTTACCTGCAGAAGATGAAATGAGAGATGAGATAAATTATCTCCAGTTACCTGGAGTTACCTGCAGAATATCTTGGAAGAGGCTTATGTTCTGTTGATACACATCTCATCATATTATTGATGTCTTGCATCAAGAAAGCTTGCATCAAGAAAGCATCAACAAAGTATTGTCTTCAGATGATGGGCTGTGTTTTTGCTTTTTTTGGGTTTTTTGGTTTTCTTGGTGTTTATGAGCAAAGGTACCAAAAAAACAAAAAACAAAAAACAAAAACAGACCCATGGCCCTGAACTAGCAAATGCAGATGATGGGCTGTGTTGTTGTTTTTTTTGTTTGTTTTGTTTGTTTTTTTTGCTGAACAAACTCAGCCCCCAGGAATCTGAAAAACTCAGCCCCAGGAATCTGAAAAACTCAGCCCCCAGGAATCTGAAAAATCTCAGCCCCCATGACGACCCCTTCTGTATTCTTTCTATTTCTCTTTGCAACCTTGGCACATCCAAAAAGACACACACACACACATGTTTCAAGTTGGACATCCTTGGCCGCTCCAAAACACCCGCCTCGCCCGTTGGCACGGCGGACACCGGAACCTTTTCCGGGTCAGGAAACCGCCACCTCATAAGCTACGGAAAGAAAGACTCGAACACCACCAATTCCGTTCATGCGATCCATGAAAAACACTTGTTGAACAAAGGGGGGGGGTTCCATTGTAGGGGAAAAAAACCATCGGTCCAAGTTCGATTTCGGAGAACCCAAGTTGATCAGCTGGACACGGTCCCACCCGCCAAGCGCGTTTTTCGCGCGCGCCTCAACGACCCGCTCTTGGTACAGGATGGTCGGCACCTTGGATGAGATCCAGCGAACATCTGGCCATGGCAAATCGTACCCCCGGTGAACGTCCCAATCCCCGCTGAAATACAGCCTAAAGTGAGGTGAATGCACCTATCCCAAAATGGGATCCCAAAACGGTTTTGAACCATGGCCATCTGGTTGCCTGGGGCCGGAACTGGCTCCACATGAATGCTTAGAACAAGTCCCCAGCCCAAAATGAGGATAATTTGCATCTCAAATTGGCTTTGCTTTCTGCGGGCGAACTGGAAGAGATGTCACTTTTACGCGAGAACCATTCCCTCGCAAAAAAAAAAAAAAAAACGGGAGAAAAAAGAAAAACGAGTCAGGGGGCATTGCTGAAGGAGAAGCTTCTTGTCAATTGGCCACCTGATGGCCAAACCATGTTCGCCTTTCAATCATGCTGCCCTAGGTCCTCCAGTAGAGAGGTTAGAATAAGGGTACCAACTTTTGTCTGTGGTCTATGTTAGTAGGGGAACCCTCCCAACCAAAAAAGGGGTTAAGAAGGGCACCTAGCTGCGGGACCTTTTCCCATTGGGGCAGGCAAGCTGTCCAGTCTGTGCCATCCAGCCATAGCTTTTTGGGTTGCCGCATGGCCTGGGGAAAGGAGGCTTTTTGGGCCATGCGATGCACCCACAGGCGCTGTAGCCCGGAAAAAAAAGCTCAAAAACTGAGCCCCAGGCTTCCACGATCTGCTCTTCGATTTGCACCTGCCAAAAGCGACGCATCCAAAAACTGTAGGCAAAACGGCGAGGTGTTGCGTTTTGCCTCAACGGCCGCACCTTTTGAGCAAGCGGTCTTAGCCCCAAGGCCTTTGCTTCCAGCTGGTTGCTGTGTTTGGCGGCTCTTTCTGGTCACTGTGGTTCCAGTGGGGCCCAGAAACAGTAAGGCAGGTGAGTCCGGAAACAAAATGACAAAGCCAGCCAAAATCGCCGGACCTGGGCGGAAGGCTTGCCTGACCCAGACCAAATCATTGGAGTGCATGTGGCTTTGTGTAGAAATGTGAGGGATCAAAACCAAGACAACGCTGGAATGAGCTTCTTCAAAGTGCAAGTTCAGAACGTAAAGCGCCACGTGTTCAAACAACGCTCAAACCACACATCTGGCGCAGTGAAGCCACACTTGCAGTATCGAAGAGGGCAACCTGCCCAAGACAACCCCAT